TTTTAGTCAGTCATGTTCAACATCCGTATGTAATACCAAAATATCCCATGCAGACAAAAATATGGTTAGGGGTCAGAACCCTGGTACCTAAGTACGTCTAGGTACCCTAATTAGCTGGCTATTGGAGCTTTATTTCCCAAAATATGATGATAATAGGCTTTGGCCCACCCCCAGATTTATTCTTGTCGGTCATATCTAACATGTTTTTCCATCACGCTGGATGAACGAAGACGATAAGAAGCGACATTGTCCGTCATGATGAGGAGGGAGAACCTCAAAAATGATCCGATTGCTCGAGGTTGGTGAACCAATGGCAATTGTCGTTGTATTTGTCCACCGAAGATGGAATGTGGTAGAAATTCAACTAAAATGGTAATTTGGTAAAATACACTGATTTGTTTTGAGGCTTGGTATAATTCAGGCAGCTAAATGGTTGAACAGAGTAGTCTCATTTCAGCATAAACGTGAAAGACATGCTCTGTTTAGAGGTGGTCAACTTCGTGAGCTCTTGGTGCAACAACAAGTTGCATCCAAGACATTCAGAAGCGAGATTACCTCGACTTGTTAGGTTGATGACCTTTTTTAGCCGTTTCTGCGGATGAATAGACATCAAATCCCGGTTGAACATCATGTTTTCAATGGGCTATGCAAGGCTTTGCAGCATCTGCACGCATATCCCTGACTTGGATGCTGGACAAATCTGCACAGCTTTGGCCCTTAACAGTTATACATTGGGATTGCACAGCCCGAGAGTTTGTTAAGAATCCGAAAGCTTGAGGCCCAGGGTCCTTCCAATTCTTTTTTTTAATGTAGGCACATTTCCACCACAATAGGCCGAGGGCCCCTCACATTTTTAGAGCATTCTTAGACATTCTTAGTTGTGTATTTTTTGTATATATATATATATTTTTGTATCTCTCTCTCTCTCTCTGCGCGCAATTTAGAGCGAGGTCAAACGAGGGAACGAGATGGAGTTAGCAGACTTAAATAACAAGGGGAATACGAAAAAAAATGAGAGCCTGTTTTTTTTTGCAAAGCCGGGCTTGTCTGATGGGTTGGTCTGCGACAGAGAAAGAAGAACTGCAACATCTCATTTCTGAGTCTCACAAGGGCAGTGCCCAAAAAAAAACGATTTTTCGGATCGCGAAAAATTGCGCGTTCGCAGCCACAACCCAGGCCAAACCCCAGCCCCTGGCAGCCAGCCCAGAGAGAGAATAAGAAGGCAAAACTCTCAGACGCAAGGGCCGTGTGGCTCAGTGGTTAGCACGTCGGCCTTCAGATTCGAAGATTGCAAGCTCGAAGCCCGAGTTCCCAGAAGCTTTAGTTTCATGAAGCTATTGGAGTAAAAAAACGTTTCAGGTTCCCAAGTATTGATTTGAGTGGACTGGAAGCAGTGCAAGAATGTGCGGAAAAAAAGCATTTTTTCAGATCCTGATTTTTTCTCCAAAGCCCGATTTCATCCCACGAGGGGATCATTCCACAAACAGGGAACCGCAAAGGAGAATTGCAACCTTTCAGTTCCCATCCCACAATACACACAAAACCTCAGGTATACATAGTACTTGAAGAATTTGGCAATCCTATCCCATATGCCCTCAAATTCTTAAAGTACAGTGTGCCTGGTATAGCTGACAATATTTAGCGCGCATTGGATCCGATCCCCTCGAATTCTTATACAGTGCGTTCTTATACAATACTCAAGCTGTAACTCCTGCAACTAGCTGGTTATATATATAGCTAGTTGTAAGCATTAAGTGTTTTACAAGGGCTATAATTTGCAGGAACCACAAAAATAAAATGTATTCGGGACAAACACATAAAAAGTTTTTCTGCTGATGTGTTCCTGGACAAACACTCTCTGTGGAGGACTTTCTGGCTTCGATCTGTGAAGAGGTCTGGAGTGTCCAAGACCAACAGGCCGCGAAGTCGCGAAGCTGCGATGAGGTTATTGTGAACATTGGGTAATGTGGGAAGCCCAATGCCATAAACCTACCATTTGGGGATTCTTTTCACCACCCATTTATAGTGATTTTGGGGATGGTTTACCATGGGGGATCCACATTACACCAAGCTCTTGGAATGTAAAAAGATCATGGTTGCAATTGGATTGTTGGTTCGCTGGGTTTGCCTTAATGATCATTGTCATGTGTATTTTTTCCCCAATCGTCGGTGAGGGTCTCTAGATTTTTAAAGAGGTGTGACGTGTGCCTCACTCCTCCTTCCTCCTTCTTTTCCGCCTCCTCTCTGCATCCTCATTCTGCCAGCTCGTCGTGACTGTAGGCGGCGCCGGCGAATGGGCTTGAGTCATATCGCACGCTCTGGATGCGGCTGGGCACACCTGGGCCCGAGCCATATCGCCAGCTCTGGGTGCAGCTTGGCACGCCTGGACAAGAACACTATCGCGAACTCTCAAGCCAACTCGGCAAGAATCGGCCCGAAACCTAATTACCCCGAGCTCCGGATGCAGCTGGGGACGCTTAGGCCCGAACATAGAAGTCAGAAAAGACCGCCAGATAGAATGTCAGAACATATGTCGGATAGAATGCCAGAAAGAAGGTCAAAAAGAACGTCAGAATAGATACCAGACACATGTCAGAACAGGTGCCCGGAATAGAATGCCAGAATGAATGTCAGAATAGAGGCCAGAAAGAATGTCAGAATAGATGCCAGAAAGTATGTCAGATAGAATGTCAGAATAGAGGCCAGAAAGAATGCCAGAACAGGTGTCAGGTAGAATGCCAGAAAGAATGTCAGAATAGGTGCCAGGTAGAAAGGTAGAATGCCAGAAAGAATGTCCGAATAGATGCCAGGGAAATGTCAGACTAATTATATTCTATATATATATATATATGCCACTTTTCCTGTCAGATAATATGACAAAAATTATGTTAGAATGGTGTGTCAGGGTGGGGATCACTTGAAGTAAGGGAATTTTCTTTTTCCCGATCGTTTGATTGTTTGAGTAGGGGTTCACATCCGGTGAACAACGAATGGACAATGGTGGCATACAATATATGAGCATATGATATGCTACCAAGCCCGCCCCTCTATGATTGGAACCATTTTCTTACCGTGGTCCATGTCTCTTTTCAGTGGCATCTCCATGATGGTTGCCATACTTTTCTTGAGAGCATCATTATTTTTTGGTGGGTCAAACATATCCTCGACAAACCGCAGGTCCTTGCCGTAAAAGCTGAGACGCACAGCCTGTGAGAGAAAAAGCGGGCAAGGGTGGAATTGATGAAGTGGAAAGGCCTTGGAAGGGCCTTAAAAGCTAGTTGCTCTGCCACCACGAATGGGGAATCGATGGTCGATTTCTGAGATGTATAAGTTGATCTATACTTAGGTGAACAATTGGATTTGTAACTACTTGTACTTGGTTGGGTACCACGTTTTTTCTAGCATTTTCTGCTGCCAGGGTTCTTTGCCTGGTGGCTTCCCCGTGGCTCCCAGGTCGCTTTTCAAAAATGCTCAAAAATCGGGCCGGTGGGGCTGTCCCATGCCCCACGAAATCGATATCACCCATTGGCAAAGCATCTCCAAATCATTGCACTTCCCCCTCCTGCAAACTAGTTCACATAGATGTGGCAAAGCCACCATGAACTATATAAATTTATATATTATAGATAATTTCCCTGAAAGGGAAACCATGGGTTGTCCACATCCATGTTAGTTTGCCCTCGGGTATGTGGTAAACCTTGACCATATATATATAAATATATATATAGGTGTATATATATACATATGCATATTGTTTTCAATGTATCTAAGATGGTGCATCATGTTTTATAGTTATAGTTGTATATTTATATACATACATATATTCATGTATATTATATATTGTTTATTTTTATTTAGATATGTTTAAATAAATATATATATATACATATGTATCATATATATTTATGTATTTCTATTCCCGCTACATTGCCATAAATTTGGGTTTACCAGGTTTATCCTAAACAATTGGACAAACCCCAAATTGTCAAGGGTCCGCAGTCGCTTCAGGGCACGCCCCGGGTTTTCGAAGTCAGACAGCGTCGTCCAGCCATGTCCCAAGACGAGATTCGGCTGGGTGTTTTTTTCTCACAGCTTCCGCTTGAAAAGGTTGGATCCATGAACCTCCATGTTTTTCAAAGCCAATGCCCACATCTGAATCCACCCGATATTGAATCAGAAAAAATAGAAAGCACGGCTATAGTCCGGTATACGTCCAAGTTCTCAGCTCGGTTGAAGATGAACAGAGACCATTTTTGCGCCGATGACTTGGGTTTCTGGTACCCAATTTTGTGGTCCTTAACGCTGGGCCCTTCACGGAAGATTTGGAATGAATAGAAGCAGATATAATAATAGAAACATAATAGAAACATATGGTGATTTCCAAAGTCATAGGGGTACCTTCAAATCGTTCAAGTCATTAGACCATACTAGACCATTTTAATATTGAAACCTATGGTATCTCGGGGATCTCCCATCCAAAAAAAAACGCAAAGAGACCAAAGACTCAAATCTTACGTTTGGGGTGGAGCATGCCAAGCTTGCACTTCTAGATCAGCTATGATCTTTTCCCACTGCTTGATGAATCGGGGGATTATTTCCTAATTGCAACCAAAAGGTCAATGATATGATCATATTGTGTCCGCATTTTCACTCACTATATGATTTTGTATGTTGTCTTTGTCTTCCAATATTATAAAAACAATATTGCACATATAAGTGGTATACCAAACCGTCCCCTCAAGGACATCATTGTTCTAAAAGGACAATGTTGATATCGCTGGAGTTATCCCCCACTACAGTGCAATGCGAAGGTTTTTACAAGCCCCTTGCCCAATAAAATGCCACAAGAATATTGTATGAAAACAGAAACCGACCAGAAATCAGCCATAAAACCAAACGTTGGTTCTATAAATCCCCAGTCCCCACATGGTACCTGCTTCATGGCAACACCAGCTCTGACCCCGGCGCCTTCAGCGCACCGAAGTTTACCTCATGTCACCATGGCCTACGCTGCTGCGGGCGGTTCAGCTGCCACATCTTCCGCTGCGCCGCTGGCGCCAGGCACCATAAATTCATCGATTTCCCGCGGGCGCGTGGTGATTTCGAGGTATATTGTCAAGGTGCTGTACCTGCTGTAGTAGATCTAGTGTCTAGGATTGTAGTGGATATAGTGTGTATGATTAAATTCAAATAGAATCGTGTCATGTTACCATATCATTTTTAAATCTATATATATATATGTAAAACATTTCTTTTACACAATTTATGATGAATTTCTAACATAGTTAGACACCTCTTTATTTTAAATTTGTGAGATCTGAAATTCCATTAATTTCCGTTGCTTTGGCTCAAGAAAATTCAAATCAAACAATTGATCCTTTGTTCGTTCATATTCTCAATTTCTTTTCGGATTTGCCATGCGTGATAATGGCGACGATGCTTTTGGTGAGCCCCTTCCTCGTACAGATCGACCTGTTCATGTTTCAAGTTCTGTGGCTTCTTCTTCGTCGTTACCTACAACTTCTAGCTTTCCTTTGAGTACTCATGTCTTTGCCTATTGGTTCTTCATCGTCTTCTACGACTCCATTGGATCTTTTCATTCAATCAGTCCAACGTGCTCTTGATTCTGGACTTTCAAAGGAGACTCTGATCGCTAACATTCATTTGATCTCGGATGAACGCTCTGTTGCTCCTCAACCCTCAAACAATGACGATTTCTTTTCACAATAAATCTCTGTTTGATCATTTGATCTGTCGATTGACTTATCTAAACAGAGATTTTTAGCAGAGACACCGAGACCTTCCTCTTCCCTTCTCGATCGATTGATCTTGTCAATTGACTATTCTTGGGAATCTTGAGGAACATTGCTTTCGATGAAGAAAAATGTCCTTTCTCCAAAATGTTCATCTTCAACACTTCGCCCATTTGACTTCGCCAATTCCATTTAATCATTTAATTGCATTCACTTGAATTTTCATGATGCACATGTGATCCGCTGCCACTATTGATTCCTCTGGTTCAACCGCAGCCCCTTTTCCGCATTGGGAGTTCTCATCTTAATTATTACCTTTTGGCACTTCTTCGCTGTCTTGATGTACACACATGTACAATACTGGATTCATTTTTCCTTCCTGAATCTTCTTCCTGTATTCCAATTTCATTCACTCAATTCTCGTTCCATCTTATTCAGGTTCATGTCAGCGGCTCTTCGTGCCTCTGCAGCGACCTTCTTCAAGGACCTCCTTTCTGCAATTGCAGCTTCAATTGAAGGTTTGATTCTTGTTTTCACATTCATTGACAGCATTTGATCGATTGATCCTGATGCACACTTGACCATTTGAGCTCTTATCAGTTCAATTTTTAATGACAAGCCTTTGTGGCTCAATTTACCCAATCTCGATTGGCGATCGTTTCTGATCTTCATATCATTGGCCATTTAGTGCCTTTGCCTTCGCAAATGCGAGACTGTCATTTTATTTTCTTCAATTTCTGACAATTCATTGGCTTGTGGCATTTGCCTTTCGTTGGACGCTTTCTTCAATTTATTTCGGTGGATCGGATTGACTTGATTAGTTTTGGTGACTTCTTCGACCTTGTGATCATCAAGAAGCTGGAGCTGGGCACTACGTGGGATGGCGTCATCGATCCCGGCACCATCCACACCACCGAATCCACCTGGATTTTCTCGTTTGTGTCGCATGTCATTACAGCAGCGACGTGGACAGATCTGGTCTTGGTTCACAACGATGTCTGGGTACATCAACTTGGAGGCATTCCCACAACATCTGAAGGACTTATGGTCCGAAGCGACCACCAACACCCCAATTCCGACATGGCTGGAATCGGGAGGAAATCCAAGGAGCTCTTGCCAGAAGATCTACTGCCTTTTACAGTCTTTGGACTTCAAGGTTCGATTCTCCATCAATCAGATCCAGGAGAGCATGGCCTGGATGCGCAGCCAACTCTTTTCATTGTCGCAAGAACCTTGCAGACAAAATGAGTGCCTCAAGTGGGATTGGTGCGCATATATATTACAAAAAGAATTGCTACCATTTGGGGTGTGAACATAGCGTAGAACAATCAGATTTCTTTGAAATTTCAAGATCAAACCCTGCATGTTTTTCAGACCCTGCATTGGCAGAGGCATTTCTTGAGGCAGGGGCAATAATTCGACAACCCTAGGAGGATCGAGGTATAGAACTGTCCGCACCTTGGGGCAGCGCAGGGCCGGGCGAGACACAGTCGGGTTTGAGACATGTTCATCACTAAAATTTCATGGGACATACGGTGGTGGCATTTTCATGTTGTTCAAGTGGGTTCCAAGCGTCATTGCCCCGGGCTGTGGTGCACAGCTATGGTCAATCTAATCCACGTATTCACAATGTGGCTCAGGTATTTCAAAGTACCCTCCCAATCTTGGCAGTGATATAGATTGAGTACAGGAACACTGCTCAGTTCAAAGTCTCAAGTCAAACATGTATTGCCAGGCGAAGTCGTCACTTGTTCTGATTCACTTGGTTGTCATGAGCAGACCCCATGCATACCACAGACATTTCACCTCAAGCATAGGGGGCACATCTGGCATGGCATGATGCACGAGAGAAGCATTTGCACTCTTGCCCTGCGTCACTTTGAGATTTATGAGATATGATACTTGAATCAGTCTCATCCATGTGTTGAACATGCTTGAATCTTTACTCCTATGGATTCTTGTAGCTTTCTCACCAGTCCTTGCGATGATAGTCCGTCATGGCATTGAAACCAAGAGGGGGACCGAACAGATCAAGGAGTCTTTTTTGCTGCAAGTCCATTGGGCTTTGGTGACGGTTCCGGCGTGCCAGCAGCCATGTCTGATTCAGAATGCCCAGTGCTTCCATGTAAAATGTGCAGTTCATTCCCGCATGCTCAGTGCAGCATTCAGTTGTTCCACCTTCGCAGAACCCGGGCCCAATGGTTGTGCCGTTCTAGCCAGGTCTTTCGCCGTGTGTGGGAGGTTCTGGATGCCATGCCGGAGGCAAGTGCACCTAGTTCTCAAGGGGGCGTGCCCAGCTTGGTCCGAGCTCGCAGCTTGCCAGGAATCAGATGATGGCGTTATGAAGGAGAAAATGGAGAAGGAGTCTCATAGGAGTCCCCTTCAATCATGTTGAACATAGCCATGTATGTGCTGCTGCCAGGACCGACGTGAAAAGAAGCGGAAGCGTGCGGGGCCAAAGTGTTGGACTTGCACATTGCATAACCGAAGTGTTGTGCATTTTGCATAAGATGCATAAGGCATTGAAGCACAACAGGATGATGTTAAAAAAGTTGCCCGCATTCAGGCCTGACTGCCACTGGGAATATGTTTGCGTCAGATGTCGTTGATGCCTGTTGATGCCATGTTGTTACGTGCTGTGTGCAGATTGCCCAGCAGACTGAAGATGCGAGAGTCGAGGGTTTGAAGGCTTCGGGGCCACGTGACTGATAACTGCTCTGTCATGCTGTGTCGTGTCGGGATTGTGGCCCGATTCGTTGAGGAGCAGTTTCACAAGGCCAGGAGCATAGAGCCAGAAGGCTGCAAGCAGAGTTACAGTCGACTTGATCCAGCATGCCCGGCAGCAACCCTTCAAGCATGGATCAGACATGCCTAGAGTCCAGAGGCATGAGCTTGATGATGCTTGATGTTTGGCAGGCTTCTCCAGACATGGCAAATTCCAGGCCGGCAGCTCACTGCTGCAAACTTCACATGTTTTTGAAATTTTCTGAGCCTTTTGATCTGAACCTCGTTGATCCGCTGCCTGCGGGCCCTGCTTGACATTGTGCTATTTTTCAGCGTTGACGCGGGTTGGCCGTGCAGGACCCTCCTTTTTGCGCAGTGGCATTCGCTTCAGGACCAGGCAGGACACATCATTGCACCATATTATACCAACCTGTGCTAGGGAACGTTGCATGTGGGCTACTTGCGTTTGTGCCCACGGCACTTCTTCAAACATGCAGGCTGCGCGAAGGGTTGTGCTCCTCCGCCGATGCCGCGGCAAGCAAAGGTGGGTGAGATTCGTGCCACACGCCTTCCCGATTCTGTGATGCCAGCATCCCGTATTATCCCGTGAGAGGCCTCCGTACAATTTGCGAACCCTGCCAGTTGGGCCTCCCAGTTCTTGCCAAAGCCGTGAGATGTTGTCAAACGACGAGTGGGTTGGGGACCCTTTTGCCCTGGAGAAGGCGCGAGGCTGATGCTGACAAAGAAGCCTGATCCTGAGTGCATCACATATTGTTCATCTTGTTTGTGCAACAGTTGCGCTTCTTTTCTGCGAAAGCGTTGCGGGACCAACTGACCAACATGTGAAACCGACAGCCCCGGAAGCTTGTGCATTTGCACCTGCGCCTGCAAGGCCAAAATCGCCTATGCGGGGAGCCTTGGGCATGCAAATGCATGCAACATACTTATGCCAAGTCCTTTTTACAGGCCTGACGCAGCCCTGGATCTTCAATTATATAGCACTTTTTTCTTCAAATAGCATTCTTTGTCTGGATTTCCGCTCATTTTGATGTTCATGCCAACTTGACAAAAACGCATATTGCACTACTGCCAGACAGATATTTCATCCGCTATTTCCCGGAGGAATTTTCCCTCAGAATTTTGACTTCGCAGCTTTAAAACTGGAAAAAGGCCAAAACAGACAAAGGCCCAAATAACAGAAATCTCTTATATAATGATAAGCATTTATTCGTGCTAATTCGGCGATCCAGGTTACGTTTGGCACAGCGGTAGCTAGAAACCGGTTCCACGGAAAGCACCCACAAACTGTTTTCCGCAACTGTGGAACGAAACGATTCAAATGTACTTAATTACGGTAAAGGGGCACGAGCCCCCAAACAATGACGTAACATGATTTCCAGCTGGGGTTGAGGACTCATGTTGCGAACATTTTGTGTAAAATCCGGGGGCTGCCATGGCTGAAATACATCATACAAGTGCCTATGCGGGACGGAGGGCATGACCCCCTCATGCCAGGTGTGACAGGTCTGTGAAAGGAAGTGATGCATGCCCATTGAAGTGAACCGATTTCCGGATGGTTGGCGTCCTTGTTCTTTGACAGATCAATGCATACAGATAATTGCAGATCGATCGTCGATAAGGTTGATATTTTTTATCTCAATTCTGGATTCCACATTGGACAAAGTCGAGAGCCAGATGCATCAATTGCTGTTCACCCCACTTCAGAAGAACATTAAGGCCAAGTCCAAGCCTCGACATGCAGGTTCTTCGACCACCCCAAGGTCATCAACCAACAAGAAACGACAGCAATTTCGACACAGAGTTGCAAAGAAGCTTCGATCTCGTCAGGACCAGCAACTTGAACAACTTACAGCCTTATTGAGAACATTTTCGACAGTTTTTCGGGACGGCACTGGGCCTTTCTGTGCTCCAGCATCCACGCCGCCTTTTCCGGCCAGTTTGAGCCAGTTGCCAACTTTTTCGTTCCTCATCCTACCACTTCTATCTACCTCTTTTCCTCTTCTCTCTCCTTTGAGGCTCTTGATCAACTCATCAACGATTTCAACTTCGTCAATTGTTTGCTTCGAGAACTTATCTCGTTTCACCACTTCAAGGGACTGTCAACTCCTGAACTGTTAACTTCGGTTCTGTTTGCTGCTGCTGATTTCCTTTCTGTGTTATTACTCGTGAAATTCATAAAAGTCCCTGTTCTTGGTATGTTGCCGAACTTGGAGGAAAATCACAACAATTTTTCTCCCGCTCTGAGTCTGATCACAGAACTTGATCTTTCCTCAGACAACTCCAATGATTTTGACGCACATCTTGAACGCCAACACGAACTCGAACAAGTTGAGCAAAACACTCAAGATTGTGAAGCGTTCAACGTTTTCATTTCTGGGTCTGGACATATGGTCACTTCTGGGATGAGCTTGATGGCCCCCCATAAAGGTGGATGGAATAAGATACTTTTGTCTGTTTATGTGATCCACAATAGCAAAAAAAAATCTTGTCTGAACTGAACATTTATCAACATTGGTTTCTCATTATTCTTTCATTCAATTGTTCGAAACGTTCCATCCATCAATGGTGAGAAGGTGAAATCATTTGACCAATTGTAGATTCATTCAATTTGAATTTGACATACGACGGACTCTCCCATCGTGGTAAAAAATTGAGCCATGTCAGCGCCGTGAGTCCATGTGCTTTCAACGACATGCCAAATAATTTTACTTTGTTTGATTTGAATTTCTTGAGCCTCCCAAATTTAATATATATATAGTATGTATATAATCTTTTGTGTATATATCAATTAGTACATATTTCATTTGACATATATGTACTAGAACATATTTATTTTTAACACATGATTTTGACATTTAATTTATTATATATATATATATATTTGTTGTATGTATTTTTCGATATAATACATCTAATATAAATAGTATTTATCATATGTATATATATATATGTTAATGGTCTAATGAAATTTCATGTCTAATACATAATGTCTGATAAATTTGCGTTCTATTTTTTTATTTATATGTAGGGACATACTGGACAAAATATAAGCATAGTCATAAAATGTATCCCAATGGCTCCAGCTGTACTTGGAGCTTGTTTTTGGGTTGTAAACAGCTTCTGAGACGCTACTTGGAGCACTAGGGATAGGATTGAGATGGATTTAGTATGCTGTAGTGGGATATAGTGGGAACTACCTTTCGCTAATCAACCATGGTTTGCTGGAAAGTCTAGCATTTAAAGCTTTTAATTCATCTAAATATGCGTTGATTTGTGGAATCCATGGTTGGTTTGCTACAAATCAACCAATATATCAGCAAATCTACGTTTTCGCTCATCAACCATAAACATCTTTGTTTTCTCCCCAGCGTGCTGTCCGTGGAGGCCTCGCTCCGCTCCGCGTGCTGGAGCTCTTCGCGGGCATCGGCGGCATGCGCATGTCCCTGCAGCGCGCCGAGCTGCCGCACCAGGCCATGGGGGATGTATAAATTAGATCCATCAATCCATAAATAGAGATATGTATATATATATATATACAGTAGACATATGTAAATAATTGTGTTTTTTGAAAATTTTGAACTGATATAATATATATATATATTTGTTTCTTCATTTATTTACCTTATAGTTATAGAATGGGTTGGTGTAGTTAATGCTTAATATATGCAAAATTCAGTGTATATATATATATATATATGTTGGTTTTAAGGCCTCACAGTGGTGGCACTGGAATGATGGTTGCTAAGCGGAATCATTCCCAAATGGCCTTATTTCAGTTGTTTTTGTGTTTTTGTGGTTGCATTTATCCCAGGTACTATATATATATATATATATATATTAAATTTGTTTTCTAAAGCTTAAGCCTCAGGATTCGTTTTTGCAAAATTGAATAACTAACTATTTCAATTTGCGCTGGGAATTTCACATGGGATACATGGAGGGAAATCGTTTGAGATTAACGTGGAATATCATGTCGGATATTGGGAAACATGGTGGGGCATAATTTAGGGATTCCAGCGGTTTCCCCTTAGCAGTCAAAGGATTTCTGTGACGTCACCAAATACCACAACTGGAGGGTGGGATCCATGCCCAGATTGTCGCCGCCTTCGACGTCTCAGAGCTCTGCGAAAAGGTGCCGGCATGACATGACCCAAGAAACATGGCGGAAGATGCCGTTGTTTTTTCACGACCCGCATGTATTTGGGAAATCCTTAGAATATCTATGTATATATATATATATTTATTTAAATAATTATATATTTATATATATATATATACTTATATATATACATAGATATGTATATATATATATTTGAATATATGTATATATAATTGGGTGGCGTGTTAGCACTAATTGTCTGGGATGCACCAGTTCTATACAATAACAGTTTGCAAAGCCATGGAAGCCCGTGCAAGCATGGCATAGGACAGCCATATGAGTCTGTGTAAACCTGTTCGACTCCAAAAAATAGAGGGTTCAAAGCATGAGAAACATGCTGTTTCGTTGTTACCCCGGCAAATTTCAACAACCTGGATTAAGGGAATGTCTATTATAATGGAATGTAGTTTGTTGTTTTTTTTTATCACCCATGCACAAAGTCAAGTCAGAGAGAGCAGGAACTCCGCCGATCATGGTGGTGTCGCGTGGCTAGCTTTGCAATATTGGGTTGCCACACTAAGAAGCTTCAAGCCTGAACATGTTCCAAAAACAGCATGAATTTGGTAATGTTTAAATATCTTTGATGCATGATTGTGGTGTCAAGATTCAAGATGGAACTCCAAGCGAGCGAATCACACTTTGTCAAAGGTTTGTTGACGCAAGGTAGACCAGATAGCAACCATGAGCTTTGGGCAGCATCAGATATATAAGTAAGTTGGCCTAGGGTTTTTGTAGAGTGTGTAGATAGATAATGATAGATTTGCGTATAGATATATAGATATTTTCAACCACATATGTTGTAATTAGGCTGGCTGCGCGAAGAAAAAACCAACTGAAGTCAACTTTATGGGTCCCACTTTTTGGGGCTTTGGGAAAATGCTGATGGCAATGTGCCGAAAGAGGGGTACTTTCCAGTATAGGTATCAAACATCCACAATGTTTAGATCATTTCCGAAAAGGAGAAACCAGTTCGGACGATCCTTGGAATGCTGGGCACACTGCTAAGCGGCAGGCGTATCGTCACAACTTTGGAGGGGAAGAGTGGAAGAAGAAGACAATTGACCCTTGGATCAGTGGGGTTTTCGAGGAATTGGTGGTTGAAGGAATGGTGATTTGATACGTATCTTTTTTGTTCAATTCATGGTTGATGTACACTTCAATATGTACCGGAGCAACATTTCTTATCGGCAGATACATGGATTTCCTTGTGTCTTGGACAACATCCTCACGGTGAACGAAAACTCAGAAATGACCCTTCAGCAAAGGAATTAGTAGAGCCTCAACTGCTGTGACATTTTCCACTACCAGGCTCATCAACAAGAGGGTATTTAAATCCTGGGTATACTTGGTCATGAGGTTGCACCCTGACTGACGAACGAGGGAATTAGGCAGAATCCACAAAACGAAAACGAGAATGCGATCAATGAGTAGTTCCCAACCACAAGTGGGGATACTGTGGGAGCAAACATGTTGATGATGATTGTGATGATGACGACGACGATTAAGGCTGATGATCATGATAAGGATGACACAGATGATGACGATGATTATGTTGATTATGTATTTGATGGTGGTTATGATGATGATGGCTGATGATTGATGATTGGTGATTATGTTGATTATGTTGACTATGATGATGCTGCTGATTTGATGTTGATGATGATGATGGTGATGATGACGACAATTATGATAAGGCTGATGATCCTGATAAGGATGACACTTACCATGACGATTATTATGTTGACTTTGAATTTGGTGATGGTGATGATGATTATTATTATCAATATTATGTTGATTATGTTGACTATGATGGTAACGATGATGATTATTATGATAGTTATTATGATTATGATTTTGTTGGTTTTGATGATGATGATCATGATGATGATGATGATGAGGACGACGACGACGACGACGGTTGTGTGTATGGATGGTGAATTGGTAAACAGCGGAAAACAGAACCCATCCCAGATGGGCTGTGCTGACGAAGTGTTTGGCTTCCCGCTTTGTAAACCGGGTTGTCAGATCCCTTTGAACCGCTACACTTGCTTGAGCGCCGCGCATATCATACATGTTGAAAATTCGAACCGATCAAAATAAATATGAACATATATAGATAGAAACACTACACATCCTGAGATGTCCACATTCTGTGATACTGCTGAAGTTTATGTTTTTCACATAGATCTATTCAATTTGGTTGATGGTTTCAAAAAAAATGATCCCTGAGCATGGGATGATGATCCCAGTTTGTTTCGTTTGATTAGGATTCGATAGGTGGTTACGCACCACCAAGCAGATGATTGTCTCGGTTGATGGCCCCGCTGTGTACCTATTATATCCCACAGGAAAGCGTTGAAAACGGCCAACCAATTCCAATGATTCTAGTTCATGGCAAAAAATAGAAATAACGCGTTCAAGTGTGAAATCAGTACATTGTTGTTTGTGAATTTCTGATTTTTTCAATTTTTTTACCCATGTTTCAAGCCCAAAAACAGCCTCAGATCATGTCAGGGGAGCCCAGGAATGCTTGAAACCCCAGGAGCTGGACGTTGACGACCTCAGTGGCGGGTGGAGGTTGACCCTGCTTCGGTGGTGCCCCAAACCAGAGGAAAAATGATGAAAAATGTGGTCTTAATGAAAGTCAATGGGAGTTGATGGGATTAAAAAAGGTGGTGCCCCCTACTTAGCTAACTTTGGTTTTATTTATCATTAATTGATATAATTATGGTTTATGGTAACTAAATGCAACTATCATCATAGTTCATGGGGGTCGCAAATCAACTTGTACCTGGGGGGCACCCTGCAGGATGATGGTGATAGCATATGCGTCCCATGTCTCGGACAAGAAATGATTCAGTAATTTCATGACCTCAAAAAAAACTCACGTTTGTGACCAAAGTCGGGCATAATTTGTCCCATGATTTCCCGGTCTAGTGAAAATGGAGTTTGGCAAGGTACATGATGATATGTATATTATATTATTGATCACTATTTTACCTGCACACACTGGAAATCAGTTGACGATGGTAAAATAATCCCTTGAAGTCCCAGGTTTTGCTCTTGTTCGTTTGTTTATATTTACTGTATATATAGTTTGTTTGGGGACCCAGCTTGAAAAGCGGTTCTTTATCCCCCGTTTGAAGACGAATAGTCGTGTACCCCGTACAATGACACTGTTGATTCAGGCACGATAGTGGGAAGTCAGTTGAACGATTACTTGAACCGGATTTTGTTGAAGGATTCCATGCGTATCACCCAGATAAAATCCAGTTATACAGCTGAATCTCAGTTTCCAATTAGAATCACCGTAAACCCTTGCTAGAGTCCCAACTTAGCTCGCTATGGGGCACCACTGTGCAGGGCTATACTTTATGCTAGGTGAGATCATTATAGGTCCAAATAGACCAATACACTTGTTGGTTGGCCATTATAGGGGTCAGTAATCTGCTGGCAATGGTCATGCCCCCAATATTCAATACTAGATGGTAGGAGCAATGGTCACCCCAACACGAAGATACAAAATAGTAAATAGCACCTACCCCAGAACTATGACTAGAATTATTATAGCTTTAGATTTTAGTGTTTTTCAATATCTTCGTATGTGTTTGGAGAGTTTCAGGACCTTGGGTGCTGCCCATCTTAAGTTGTCTTTGTTGCGTATTGCTAGCTCACCTTGACATAGATATCATCACAAGCTGAATCCTTTGATTGTGGGCCCCAAATGAGCTATCTACGGGGCCCCACCTCGCAACGACCCCAGGAACATCGGGGGACATGGGGCCCCGATAACTTGGCCCCAATAAAAAACCAGGGTGAACCACTTCACAATAGTTGTTTCATCACCATAAGCCCAACAAGTTTCAGGGTCGCTCCAACTCATTATAGACAAATGATAGCCACAAGTGGGGTTCATTGGTCATGTCACATTATGATTATCCAATTTACCACCCTTGTACCTGGGGTGTTTGGAGCAACTGTTAAGCACTAAACAACTATAATCTATAATATTAAAATCACTCTAGTATACTCTAGTTATATCCAGGTATTTCATCACCATGAAAACAGTCAATTACAATGTTGTATGTAATCAGTATACAGAACCCCCGAACAGATGCAGAAGCTTTTGTTTATCACTATTTTAGGATTGTTTTCCAACTGTTTTACCCTTTTGGTGATTCTGAAAGTCGTAATATGTTAGTATACTCATCAAAATAGCCTGCAAGGTGCGTGCCCCCAGTTGCAAGTTGGTTTAGAATCCTCATTAACTATAGCTATATCATCCACCAACCCAACAGTCAACCAAGTTGTGAGGGTCAAACTATCACAAATCAGCTATGCATCGAGACCACCGAAATGGTTTCATCTATCAGCGATCATAAATCAGCTATAAATCCTATGGAAATCTGTAGTTTCTCTATATTTCTCTCAGTGAAAGCACCATTTTTCCGGTGATTTGGGGCCGGGGGCCATGACAAGGCCATGACAATGGTCGTTTCACCAAGGCGCTGGGGGCGGATGTCTGGCTCATGAGCCCGCCATGTCAGCCCTTCACGCGCGCGGGAAAGAGGTGCCGTAAGGGAAAATGGCGCGGGATTTTTCAGGAGATCTGTTACCAACTGGCTGATTTATGTTGTTTTTTTTCACCCTGGTTTGAGACCCAGTGAAACTTGACCATATTATGGCTTTCTTACGCTATATGTTCCCGGCTGCTATTTGATGATATTTGTTTTTTCATGACATTTAAGTTACTAACTAATGGTAGGAGTTATATATGTCATCCCATTTTTTCGGCCCTGGTTTAAGGCCATAACTGCAAGAGAATGTGGTCGGAAACAACCGAAAACGGTGAGTGAACCAGGACAAATGAAAAAGTAACAAACATGTAATATGCTGGTGTAAGGGGGATATGATCGAATTTATATATATAATGTGATAATCTAGATTAATTATGACCCAGAATGACAATCATTCTGATTGTTGCAACCAAAAAAAAGTACCGAAAAGTAAAATCAAAAGCCTAAAATGGTGACGAATTACTTTTCCATGTTATCAGGTGCTACAAGGTGGTGCCCGAGTGGTGCCCCTCCATTTATGTGTGCTGGTGTATTTTCCATCTACAGTAACATAGTCATACTGTAATCAGCCCAAGCCCAAGCTAAATTAGAGTGCTTTAAACCAACTTCGCTCACCAGGCGGCACCAGCCTGTACTGTCTTCACTTTGGTTAGAGGTAAACCATGTCGACTGGATTGTCGCACGGGCAGTTGACTGCAGCGAGCTTTGTCAAATCAACAGGGCTCTGTCCCTTCAATCCATTTTTTTTGGTTTTAATGCAAACGTTGAAACGTTGAGGGGTCGAAACGTTGAAACCTTGGGTACTACCTGAGGGTCTACAATAAGGGTCCCCGATACCATTTCGAATCACTTGGAAATGGAATTGCACTTACCCCTTGCCTGACATTCCCCCAAGTAAAGCTAATACCACTTGAAAGGTTGAAAGGAACTGGAGGTGTTTGTACAGTAATGAGACTTTTTCTGGCGTCAAAATCCGGTAACAAATCCAATCCAGGATATAAATCATCTTAAAACCAACGGTATATTTGATTTACAGCTAGGTTTATTCATGTTACAGCTAGTTATCATCTTACTCAACATTTTCTTGATGGAAAGGGCCCAAATGGGCCCAAGGTTTGATTTATCTGAAGCCATACTTGGTTCATCACGGTTCATCCCACTTCGTAGCTTAGTAACCAGCCTATTTCTAAGTGGATTTAGCCTACTTTAATCCACTCAGAGATCACCGTGGTATATCCTCACCGTGGGATGCTGACCGGATCGATTCAGCGCAGGAAAGACCATGAAGACGATCGGTGGGTGACCTTGGTACGGAGTAGCATGGCTAGCCATAAATTCCCCATGGGAAAATCATGGTACATTCATGGTGATTTGATGGTGATTTAATGGTGATTTACTGGTGATTTACTGGTGGTTTAATGGTGGTTTAATGGTGATTTACTGGACTATATAATGATATATCATGGTGTACCAGCTGGTTATGACTAACAGTTCGCCATGGAAAGATCCACCCATGTTTAATAGGTAAACCATCTATTTCTATGGGCCATCTATACCATGGCTATGTTAGTCATAACCAGAGGGTGCATTCATGGGAAAATGATAATGTTTCAATTATGGCCCTCGGGTCTTGATTTTTTTGATGGGATGAAAACTCCTCATAGTTCAGTTATGGCCATTAACAGATAGTAAAATGGTGGGACCTTTATGGGAAAATGATGGGAAAATGATGGGAAAACACATGAAAACACTATAAATGGGGATGAAACAACTCCTGTATCTAGTTGGTTACATATCCATGAAATAAACCAGTTGAACTGGCTTGAAGGCTGTAACTGGGGCAAAGTAGCAAAGCAGTAGGATCCACCATCCCCAATTTGGCCACAAACAGGTGGTATAAACCATCAAAATATGGATGGTTTATTATTGCTTCACTAACATTATACATAAACCCAACTGGAACTTTCAAGGTGTAAAGCAACACTTCAAGCCCCAATAGACTGGAAGGACTTCAGGTTTTACCAGGACGTTTGAGAATCCTGTGGGTGGTTGCGAAATCCTGCACCAGTTGGTAACTACTGGATAACACCTGTGAAAACTGGGATTGTAGGGTCAAATTATTGCAGGAATTTTGCAGGGTCTTAGAAAAATATAGAAAAATGAGTTTGTCTTAAAGTTAAGGGAAAACAAAAACTATGACGTCATATTCCATCCACTAAAAAGAGGCTCACTTTCCCACTAAAAGGAAAAAACTTGGTGGGTTACCCTCCGGTGTCATCACGGCTTGCTGCAAAATGTGGGGAGTTTCCCAGCCATAAACCTCCATGGTTGTAGGGGGATTCCAAGAAAAAAACACCAATTTATACTGGATGATTATCCCATGAAAACCTCCGTTTTTGTAGGGTTTTTTTGGGCGGTTCTCCAGATTGACCAAGGTCTCGAGGACTTCTCCATCTCATCGGGCTTCTGCCACTGCAGCTCGGATGTAGCTGCCAGCGTTGGCTGATTTCATGGGCAAATGGAGGTGTCCTAAAACTGGGTTACACCGTAAATCATCCAACGACATCAGAATGACCAACTCCCCGGTTAAACCAGGACGAGTCCTTCAGGAAGAATCCCATTTGCATCAGCCAAGATTTTAGGATTGCGAAGTCCTCCTAGGCTAGACTTCAGCTTGCCTCGCGGTCAGTAAGTGATTTGGACCGGTTTGGACCAATTCATGACCATCGTTTTTTTCACATGTGTATAATATAAGGTTTCCTGAAATGGCGGTATCGCCAAATCATCCAAGTCATTAGACCATGACTTATTATTGAAATCCATGGTGACTTCGTGATTTTGTTGGGGAATCTCCCATTTTAAGACAACCTCATCTGATTATAGGTCTATCTATCGTAAACAAAAGTTGACCATACTTGAAATATGTGTATATATATATATTATATAGAGTTATCTATATATATATATATATATATAACTATATACTGTATATCCTGGGAGCGTGCGGCTTCGGCAAGAGAGATATTGCCGGCGCAGGGGGTGTAGCTGCTATTCTTGGAGACGTTCACCTTGCAGAAATCCTGAAGTTTTGCCGAAGTTTTGCCAACTCGAAGGTCAAAGGGCCCCTTTAATTATGTTAAGTATGTGGAGATTCCCTCTGCTATTCTAAGCATGATGTTTATCAGTTTAGTTTTTTGTCATTTTATTATATCCTTTTTTTTGCATTGCTGTATTGTTTGTATTCTGTTTGTAGGTTCATCATGGTTGATTGGCATTGATTACCTCAACTAGGTAATGTTATAGTTCTAGCCCTCAAGCCAGTGATAGCTGGTTTATGTCCTTTTATATATATATAATCAATAATTATATAAGTTACAGGAGGTATTTCATCCCATTTAGGGCCCATTTATAAGGGCCAACCTCACCAAGTGCGTCGTTTTTTTGGCGGACGCGCCGCAGGATAGAGGTTCCGCCAGCTGCCATTTTGTTGGAAAATGTCGTTGGCTTCGTGGGCTTCGACGCGTTTGCTGGGAAGGGATTCGTGCCGTGTGGATGAATTTCTGGCAAATCTGCGCCACCAACCACGGTTTTTTGGAAGATTTTGGACGCATTTTTCAGTGGGTAGCTTAGTTTTAACTATACATAGGTCAACTGCTGAGTTTGTGGATGTTTGTGCTAGATATATCGAACTAGGTAGATGGGTTCATAAACCGACTTGCAAGTGGGGGACACTGTCTGACATGTGAGAAAACAGCTGGTCAAAAATGATCATGTTCCGTATTGAAGTGGCCAGAAATGGGGGCATATAGCCTGTGTTCAGACGCACCCATATGCTCACTTCACAAGGACCTCCATAAACCCAATCCTTTATCTTCATCCTCATCCCCATCCTCATTCATTTTGGGAATCTCTGTTCCTACATCCTGCAGTGCCCAGATGATTGGGCTGAAAAGATGAGTCACGACTCTTGAAGTGGGTTTCTGCGGACTCCTTGTACACTTTTTCTCATACCTAGCACCAAAATATATAGAACAGATTGAAAGCCTACAGAAGACATCCTCAAAAGACTGATCTATGTCAAGGAGTCATCTGGACACATTATAACGACCTCACTGCAACCTCACTGGAATCATGATTAATGAGAGGAATCATCCCAAAATGGATCAAAATGGCCTTATTTCAGGTTAGTGAATTATTGTATATAATTTGCCCAGATTGATGTTCGGGCTGAATTTTCAATGTGGTTCCTTGTGCTGTCAAGCGACTTTGAATTTCCTTCGCATGATGTGGTTTCTGACCACACCTTCAACGACTAGGCGAAGTTCAATCCCACAGTCTTGGGTAGCCTGATGCATCATTATTATTCATTATGTGTCTAATTTTTTAGTGTGTTGGTATTTGTTACGCCTTTTCTTTTTTATTAGGAGCTAGGTATTTTTTTTGGGCTTAGGTACGTCATGAGAATGTGTGTTTCCCGTCGAAAAAAATACTCCGAGACTTGGACACAGGGGTCTCAGCAACTTCCCCTTCGATGGGAATCGCAGATAATGAGTGGTTTAGAATGGAATTTAAAACCTATTTTGCATATATATATATCTATCTATCTATCTATCTATATATATATGCATATACTATATCCCTATTCCACTAGGTCACTAGGCTACAATGTTACAATATCGTTGTTCCACATTTACTAAGTGGGACGTAGCCCCTTACGTTGTGCCACCCACACCGTTCCCCGTGGCCAGGAACGTTCCGAGTGCCGCCAGCGCTTGCTGAGTGCGCTGGGTTCTGGCTGGGAGATGGCGGAGTTTGCCTTGGATCCAGAAGATTTTGGCCCGGTGGCGCAGAGGGGAAGTTGGGTAAATTTTACCCAGAAAAAGTCTACGAAACAGTTGGTAATTTAGTGGTATTTGTATAGCCATTTTGGGTTTCCTAAAATGAGGAATAGCTACTTAACTAATCCATTTTTTATTTGTGGATTTTGCATAAACATACTTGGAGGATGATCCCCTGAGCATTTGGTTTACAACAGAATAGTTCAAACATGTCCAAACCCATTGGTTTTAGGATAAAACTCAAGGAATCAAATGACTTACTAACCATGACCTATTCATCCACTATGCGGAAGGATCCTCTAAGTAGGTTCACAACTCCTACAATTCTCAAGCAGCAACGACTGTTGGTTTATTGGTACCTACAATGATTTTAGTAAGTTTCGCATAGTTTCGCCCCGTCAAGGTATACATGGGCCTTGCTGAAAACAATGCTTAAATTCTCAAATGGTTTATCTTCATGTGCCCTATTTACAAGTCGCCTGCAGTCCTTTTTTCTCCCCATTTTCAGACATGCCGAGATGTGCGATGAACGAAACATGGATCAATTTCCAAAGAGGATGGTTTATCCTCCCATCAATGCGGGTTGACATACCCAGTACTCGGGGAATTTCATGATGGTCATCCCCCCACCAAAGGTGGTATCTTTGTACCCTGAGGCCCCAGCCGTTGAAATCCTGGTGATGCACCCTATGCTATTCCACTGATCAGTGGGAATTTCAGGATCCTAAAATGGAGGTACCGTACCATATAAGGCCATATTTTGTGGTGATATTCCATTACATAGGCCTCATAAAGGCCTTACATATGGTAGGTACTTCCAATTTAGGTTCCTGAAATGGCCATTGATTAGATCCCCCATTGCCCCATGATCCTATATCATTTCATGTTGACCATGCTATCAGGTCTTCCCAATCGTCGTCCACGCTACTACGGCCTCTTCCGCCACCCCGAGCGCCTTCGGCTGCGATGCTTGGCTCCCGCGGAAAGCAGCGGCGGATGCTTCTGGAGCCAGGTGAAGGAGGAGGTGACCGGGCGCCAAAGAAGCGGCTACCAGTTTGGTGATAACTTGAGATTTGAACAACGGCTATTTGGCATTATTTATGGTTGATTGATGTGGTACTCTCTGGCGTCGTCAAACGTGGCTGTTTGATAACACGGGAAGGTAAGTTTCTTGAAGTGCAATTGAATCAACAACTTTTGAAGTCGTAGTACTGAATCTTTGCATTCAGCAAGTACTCAAATTTGAATGTTCCATTTGTATTTCACTGAACAACCTCTGAGGTACTCGTAGGAGGGAAAAGCGGCCTGGTGTTCAGCTAGGAATTGTATCAATCTATGATGATTGCCTTGATTCCAACTTAGAGTTGTCTACATGTTCTTTCTACTCAACGCGTACCCTCCTGTACCTAGGATCCAGCAAGATCGGATGGCCAGTTGTACCGCCAAACGGATCTGTGCACTTGAAAGTGGCTGCTGTTCCATCTGCTAGCTCCAGAAAAAGTAGAAAAAGAAGAATGGGAACAACGCTCACTGAGAGCCGATTACAGATTTACTTTTGCTATCTTTTGCTTTGTTCCCCACCTGCCAGGTGAGGGTTGTTAGATTTTATCAGAGCTGTTCTCCTCCTCCTCCGCCTCCTCCTCCATCTCCTCCTCGTCCTCCTCCTCGCAGTCCAGATCCCAGTGGGCACTGCCGGACCTCCACCGCGAGCTCCAGATCGCAGTGGGCACTGCCGGACCTCAACCGCGACTTCCAGGTTGCAGTGGGCACTGCCGGACCTCAACCGCGATTTCCAGATCGCAGTGGGCACTGCCGGACCTCAACCGCGACTTCCAGGTCGCAGTGGGCACTGCCGGACCTCAACCGCGACTTCCAGATCGCAGTGGGCACTGCCGGACCTCAACGGCCAGAGAGAATCCAGAAATAATGCCAGATAGAATGCGGCCCCCCCCAAAAAAAAAAAAAGGGAAGATATTCAGAAGAATGCCATACAGAATGCCTTCCCATGACTGCCAAACCTCCTGTGCGGCCCATCAGACCAAGAGGAGGCACGGGCCAGGGCGTAAGACGAATGCGGCAACACGCGCGGACTAGCAAATGCTGGAGAAGAGAAGATTTGCCAGTATAGAAATGCCCCAGAATCAATATCAATAGAATGCCAGAAGATATGCCAGATAGAATGCCAGAAGATATGTCAGATAGAATGCCAGAAGATTTGCCAGATAGAATGCCAGAAGATATGCCAGAGAAAATGCCAGAAGATATGCCAGATAGAATGCCAGATAGAAATGCCAGAAGATATGCCAGATAGAATGCCAGAAGATATGCCAGATAGAATGCCAGATAGAATGCCAGAAGATTTGCCAGTAAGAAAATGTATAAATGTCATGGTGGGGATCACACGGAGTAAAGTATTTTTTTGTTTCCAAGATTGAAACTAGAGATCACCATTTTCAGCAGGGAATTCATCCAAAAAGGATGGCTTTTCCGTCAGGCTGAGCCTTTGCTTCAAGGCAGATGTGCCCGAAGTGAAGAGATGCGGCCACTGGGTGACTTCCTGCAGGATACGGAGAGGGCACCCCGAGTGATCAAGTGATTTCACCATGAAAGTTCGGTACTTGATTTACGATGAATTAAGTGGTTTATCCACAAAAAATGGAGACTGATAAATAGTTGATTATCATAGGTAAGCTGGTTTAGTTCACCCATCCAGTCTGGATGTATCCACTTCTTTACTGGCATGTTTCCAGGAAGGAAAAGTAAAATCCAATGTATGCAATATAGAATTATTGTGAATCAGCTAAATGCATTGTCATTAGATGTGTTTTTCAGGTTCAGTTTGACATTTACAATGGCCGAATTATGAACTAAGTCACTATCTAGGTACCCCCCCCTTGTAGATGAGGTAGAGAGATTTATGTTGATGTGTTTATGTCCATGGTTTTTTTCATGATGTTTGATCGGGCCATAATAGCAAAGTTTTGGTCATGGCTCATACGATCTCATACGAATACTGTTCTTCACCTGCAAATATGCAATTGAGCACAAAAAAACTGGGCAAGCTGAGGAAGTGACACAAAACAGGGCCTATTGGTGACCATCCGATCATATATCTTGGCAATGGCAAGCATCCTGTTCCATTGAAGATCAATGAAGAATACCCATTGTCCAATGACATGTTTGTTCCTAGTTACCCCCAGGTTGAATGGGAATGTGACCATTTCGTTTGGGATAGGGGAGCGTGTCAATCGCTAAGTCAGTTGGAAACCGGAACCCTGGACCTGGAAGTCAAACTGATCAGGTGAAAGTTCATCAAGTTCGTCCAGTCCACGGTGACACAACAAAGTGAAACAAAATGAGCATGAAAAGAGTAGGACATGCTTGCTATGTTATGCAGCAAGTGGAATATTACATGTTTACCTCGCAACGATGATACTATGGGCTCTTCTTCTTATTTGATTTAAGATCAATCACGATTTTCAACGAGTCTTGTAACCCTCAAAAGGGTGCAACAGTAAAATCCAATCCTAAATTCCTGAATTAGGTATTAAATGAACCTGTTCTGTCTTTTTTGAGGCTACTAGATCCCCATTGTTTCTGCCTATTCATGTGAAACTCCACGGTTATGAGTTGGTTTCCCCATGAAACAAATCAAGTCCCTATATTTAATCTTATTCACCAAGTTATGTGATGTCCATTCAATAGGAAATAGTTATATAATGTGTTTCCATTTAGTTTCTTTCAAGATGATTGAGTACCCTTAAAAAAACAGCAGTAGTAAGCCGCAAAACAGGTAGACTATGTATTTCCAGGATGGTAGCTCGAAGATTCCTCACGTTTTCAAGTTGCTATATCTCGTCTCATTGTCGAACAAAAGTAATCATGTTCCCTTTTGATTCATGGCCTCCCTGTACACACATCCCATGTTCATCTATTATCATCTATTGTCAATTTTTTACATAGCTAAATATCACCTAATATCACCTAAATCCTTAAACATCAAGCGTGGCTATCTGGGAATCAAGCGTGGCTTCGGTGAATTCCCTGCCAGGACCCTGCAGCCCTGGCCCTGGAGGAACAGACTTTGGGCGCTTCCATTGAAGTCCCACAGGAGGTGATGCGCACGCGACAGCAGAAGGAGCCGGTTGGGAGATCGGTTGGGAGAGACATGTCCGTCATTTCCGGCCATTTCTGTGGAAAGAATGTGGCAAAATATGGTTTCTCAACAACTCTTTCTGGCATCTTTGGCATTCTCTCTGGCATGTGTTCATCCGGAGCCTGGGACAGGTACCATGCATCCTGATCGGGATAGGGTTCAGGTCCAGGCGTGCCCAGCTGCATCCGGAGCTTGCGCTCTGGCTCGGGTCCATTGGTGGTCACGACGAGCTGACAGAACGAGGAGGCAGTGAGGAGGCGGAGGAGAAGGAGGAGGAGGAAGCAGGAAGAGAGGGAAGGAGCGAGTGAAGGAGTGAGTGAGTGAGGCACACCTTTGCTGAGCTCTAGAGACCAGGAAAAACAAGACACCGAACGGAAAAAAAGGTCGGTTTCATTAGTCCCTTCTCACATAAAGGATTGCCGTTGCCCCGCGTCCACTGTTGCCCCGCAGTTCATTCAACAATCCATGACAATCCCATTGAGTCTCATTACATCTCATTGCCCTCCGGTAGTCAAACTGTACAGATGGTTTTCCCATGGTTTTCCCATGGTTTTCCCATGGTTTTCCCATGGTTTTCCCATTGAAACCTTCATGTCCCATGATTTTGCCACGTTTGACACCGGAGAATCTCTTCCATTTTTCGATCTCCAGAGGATCAACGATACGACATCCATCAGCGCGCGGACTACACCAGCGCCTGCCTGACGAAGGCCAATGGGAAATTGCCCTTTGGCCATTCACCGTTGGTGCTGCAACATGAGGAGCGCTCGGCAGCTGAGCTATTTGAGCCATGAACAAGATAGCCTGGTTGATTGGTTATGAAATGGGAGTTATACTACCTGATCTACTTGGCTTATTGGAGATTCTTGTTGCCCAGGGCGGGAAACCTATCAGCAACATTCAACTCATTCAACAACCAAATACAGATAATAATATAGTGAGATGGATCCAAACCGGGAAAGTCCGAGAAATCTCACCAGGGAAATTTTGAAGTGGCGAGGACGGCGAGGAAGTAACGATTGAAATCTTGGGTTTGAGGTTGAATAGGGACCCGGAAATTTGATTACCACCCACGTATGAAGATATTAACACTATGGGACTATGTGTTTTATTACGATGATTGAACATTATTCCAAGATCCAAGGGTATACTTATACAATAGAATATCTGATAATGAGATGTTACAAGGTTGAGCCCCTACATATGAAGAATAAGTTGCCTTATAAACCCATCAAACTAGTTCGATATAGTTCGATATGGCTACCATATATCCACAATTAACAAACCTTCTTAGCTAAGCAGGTGGCACCACTAAGGAATAATCAATGCTTGTAAATACATAAACCATCAACAACCGCATCATTTCCCATATGTTCAATTACCAGACGGAAACAAAAGTACCATGGGATACATGAACGAAGATTTTATTGGGGTTGTCCATGGCCTATTTTGTGCTACTGGTTGGTGGTTGCGCCGTTCTTGGATGGTGGGAATCCCACAACATCTGGTGATGATCACCGAGCCGTTACTCAAGGAGTACAGCCCCCATGCGAAGGTGTAAACCAAACTTGTGGAAGCCGCGACCCAGGTCTCCACCATGACAGCAGAACGCCAACAGTTCATTTACCAGATCGACTACATCTTGCTGGCTGTTAGCCGTGAACAGGGAAACCATGTCAAAAATTGAACAAAGCACGAATTAATAAAAACAGGGTTGAGGCAGAGAGGTGTTTGAGGTGCGTTTGGGTCAACAAACCATCAACAACTGGGGTTGTTGATGCATACCCTTCGGTGACTTTCGATTCAGGTTTGAACTGATGATCTTGCATGACTTTCATAAAAGTTAGGCCGGGCCCGCAGCCACCAATCAGTTTTTTTGTTAGTTCAAAACTTCATCACCCAATGTTTGTTTTGAACATGCGGAGTCTATTCCTGTGATACCATCCGTTATGCGGTTGGTTCAGCATCAGATAGTACCGGGCCAAATTCTGCAATTCCCCAGGTTGGTTGAATATTACAAACATGTGATGCCATTCCGTCTCCAAACATGGGATTATGACCCCAAGTGACTTTGCAGCCCTTGCATAGATGTTTGGCTATGTTTTTGTTTGCTTATATTGCGGGTGCTGTATATCCCTCGCCCTACCAAGAAACTCGATTGGGTGTCTCAACCACCATCTTATCGTTGGTTCATATCCCCATGTTTCCTACTCTTATTCATGTGATACTAACCATGAAATGCTCAACCGCAAGCCACTTTTTATCCAGAGGACAAGGTTGCTCCAACCCATCATGGATAAATTATAGCAACTTACTTTGGGGGAAAAATGTGTCTATTCTTCATCTGCTCAATTTAACCCCGAAACGTATGGGGGGTGGCCTGGGAGCAAGCCTGGAGGAGGAGGAGAAATTCCTGGAGCAAAGGCCCAAGTTATCCTCACAGGGCAGTGGGTCCGGTGCAGCTACTGACCATGTGTGGCAGGAAGGTTTGCGCGTGCGTCTCTTGGTTCCAGATCCTTTTTGGCGGGCGTGACTTGCTTCTTTGGCAGTAGATTGCAAGGTTATACCCTCTGGTAATCAAAGAAAATCACCATTTCGAATGGGTATATAAATCAGTGTAAATACTAAAACATTAGCAATTTTCCATGGTTAAGTTATGTTCAATTAGTGGATGGTACTGTTTATCCTTGTTTATCCATGTTTCTTAGCAAAATATCAAACAGGTTGGAGAGATTTGAAGAGAGGGAACAAATTTATACTAGGATCAGAACGCTTTCGGAAGATGGACATAAATATTTACCCTCTGGTAAACATACAAAAAGCTATTGAACATGGCCATAGAAATAGTGGATTTACCCATTAAAAATGGTGATTTTCCATAGTTATGTTAGTTTACCAGAGGGTATACATAGTTCCACGAGGTCAGGGATCATCTGAGGCCGCACGGGCACAGAACTTAACGATGGCCAGTGGTTTCAAAGGTTTTACACGTCGCGTTGTCGGAATCACTCAATCACCCACCAGCTTAAGAGTGTAGTGTGAGCCATTTGCGATTTTTACAAATACATTCAGATGGATGTCAGATCAAGGAGGCACAAGAATACAATTGGACATTTACCATCATTTACCAATATTTACCATCATTTACCATCATTTACCATCATTTACCATCATTTACCATCATTTACCATCATTTACCATCATCTACCATCATCTACCATCATCTACCATCATCTACCATCATTTACCATCATTTACCATCATTTACCATCATTTACCATCATTTACCATCATTTACCATCATTTACCATCATTTACCATCGTTTACCATCATTTACCATCATTTACCATCATTTACCATCATTTACCATCATTTACCATCATTTACCATCATTTACCATCATTTCCCATCATTTCCATATTTTACCCCCTATGGATGGTTAAATACAAAGTATGACCAAGCGCTGAGTCCAATCGCGCTGAGGTTACTTGTCTCCTGTGGAACAGCTGAGATTGATACTGAGCTGGAGGGAATGGCGGGGAAATTTTCAGAATCAGATTCTGGTGAAGACTGGTTGGTGGTTTGGAACATTTTTTGTTTTCGTATATATATATATATATGTATATATATATATTATTATATATTGGGAATAATAATCCCAACTGACGAACTCATATTTTTCAGAGGGGTAGGTATAACACCAACCAGGAAGATGTTCGCTCATATGCTGTATCCCACTGACGTGATTCTTGTGTTGTTCCCATGGGGTCTGCCTGCACGCCCGTGCTTGCGACCTCCAAGAAGATTCGTTTGAAAATAAGGTACGCTACCGTGTGCCATATACCCCCAATCACTGATGGTCTCAATCACTGATGGTCTGCGTACCACGGGTTCCGCCATGTTCCAAACACACACACATATATCTTAGTTGAATCAGTTGAGAAAAAATGTGCTATCAGCTAATCAAGCACGAACCTTGGGTTTCCTGAAGCTGATATGTATGTCCGAATAATTTGGAGGGATGATATGTTTCAGTTTTTGATATTGTTTGCCATTTCAAGCAAACCCACTTGACAGTCTTTCACCAAGCATTATGGAAGGTGTTGAGCCACCAGTGGACAAATTTAGGATGGGCTTTCCCGAGAGCTACAGCTTCCCAGCGTCTTTGAAGTTCAAGGACAGTTCTGTTAATTTGTGACTGGTTGGTGGTTTGGAACATGAATTTTATTTTTCCATTCAGTTGGGAATAATCACCCCAACTGACTCATATTTTTCAGAGGGGTAAGTATACCACCAACGAGGTGAAGTTTGGCGAAGTCTGGAAAGGGGATGACCAAGGATGGTGGTGAAGGTTTCCTTTACACCTTTCAGTAATTTGCAGTGACTGTGTGCTGCGGAAAATGTCCCATTTATCTTGATGATGTTGTTTATTAAAAAAAATCCAATTCGCAAAAAGTAGGAGTCGGTATCTTAAAGGGTATATCCAATTTCGTGAATGATAATCCCATGAAATCCCAATTTTTGTGGTAAGGCCCCACAAGTACAACAAGGCTCAACAAGTCATGAAACAGCCATTTCTCTTAACGTCTTCACCCTTTCTTCCCTAGCTTGGCGCCTTGACACATGAGACCATTGGTAATGGGGATCCGCCGGTCGGTAAAGCTATGGGTAATGAGGCTGCATTTCCCCGATGAGAGTCATGATGAGTCTCTTATTCCAGCTGTTTCCCATTTTTATCTTCTGGTAATGTAACAGTTTGCTATAGAAGCCATGGCCCGTTTGGTCCGCTTTTAAGAATAGTGGTTTTCCATAGCTATGTTCGAGTACTAGATTGCATTCTATTTTTAACATTTCAATATTTCAGAAATTGGCAAGATTGACTATTATTTAGATTTATAGTTTGTTTTTTTGGTCTATCGCCTTGGAATTATTTATAGTTTGCTTCTCGAGCGAGTAACTTACAATTTGCATTCATCAGATCCTGGTTTATCGCGTTCAACTTAGTGATCGGAGTTGATTCATTATGCGGTTGATGGCTGGCTGGAAAATCCCTCAACTAAATGGAGGTTTAAATAGGAAGACAATGAGATTTTTTTTGCCTGATTTTCTCAAGAATCCCGGTTGTCTTGAGACGAGTTTGAAACCAATGCAAATGGATATTTACAAAGGCGACACAAATTAAGATATGTAAGTCGGATCTGACGTGGGTAGGACATTTGTTCTTTGGTTGGAAATTCCTTGAACTGCGACTCGGCGCTCGACCAGGAGTATAGAAATGAGATTGGATTGCAATGGAGGGTACAACAGCTTTGATGGGACTAGAATCTGCTTAGACTTGCTTTCAAGTATTATAATTATAATCATTTTTCAATGGGGTGGATAGCATTGCATAATAATGGAGACATGTTGACATGGACAGTTTATCATGATAAACCAATATGAGCTATGTATTCTTGCTTCGTCCATTCAAGCAGAAGTTCACTTTTGAAGATATTTTGAGAGGACACCACTGCCCGCAGTTCGCAGGATGTAGAACTCCCAGCTGTGTATAAACTCCAATTTTTGTGTCACGAGAAGTTACTGGACCATACTGGAGCATTACTGGAGCTAAGTACTGGTAGTGAAACGATGGTCCTGCTCCATGTCCACTTGGGCTCTTGAAATCAAATGTGGAACATCGTGCAATCAGAAAATGGTATCACGTCCCATAGAAATCATACTTCAGGACTGTATTTCGCAGTGTTCTCTGAAATCCTAAAGTCATTGAAGTGATTTAAGTGTAGACTTCCATACTTAGATTTAAACCATTTTAAACCACCATATTTATTCCATATGTCACTAATGCTCCTTGCTTCAAACACTCACGACCCTGTACTGAACTCTATGGGTTCTAGCTATCCACCTTGATTTTTGCTCGTTGCAGCGTTCGACGGCCACCATTTCCTCCCCAAGGCCGCATCGTGTCTTCCCTGCTGCCCTTTCTGGTTGAGGCTCCAGCTGCGCTGGACCTGGAGGTCGGAGCTGCGCAGCTTTTCTGCTTCGAACTGACGTTCTACTTATATTTTTCTTTTTCTGCAGTCATACGTTTTTGCCGCTCTGTTTTTTCTTGCTCTGCTGCTCTGCTTCCTTTCTCTTGTTCTTTTGCTTCTTTTTCTTGTTATTTTGCTTTACTCTCTCTCGTTTGTATCCTAAATGAAACCCTGAATGAAACCCTAAAGAACCCCTAAATGAAAAGCCTAAATGAAACCCTTAATGAAACCCCAAAGAAACCCTAAATAACACCCTAAAGCACAAATGAAACCCTAAACGAAACCCTGAATGAAACCCTGAGTGAAACCCTAAATGAAAACCCTAGATTTTCTCAAGAATCCCGGTTGTCTTGAGACGAGTTTGAAACCAATGCAAATGGATATTTACAAAGGCGACACAAATTAAGATATGTAAGTCGGATCTGACGTGGGTAGGACATTTGTTCTTTGGTTGGAAATTCCTTGAACTGCGACTCGGCGCTCGACCAGGAGTATAGAAATGAGATTGGATTGCAATGGAGGGTACAACAGCTTTGATGGGACTAGAATCTGCTTAGACTTGCTTTCAAGTATTATAATTATAATCATTTTTCAATGGGGTGGATGGCATTGCATAATAATGGAGACATGTTGACATGGACAGTTTATCATGATAAACCAATATGAGCTATGTATTCTTGCTTCGTCCATTCAAGCAGAAGTTCACTTTTGAAGATATTTTGAGAGGACACCACTGCCCGCAGTTCGCAGGATGTAGAACTCCCAGCTGTGTATAAACTCCAATTTTTGTGTCACGAGAAGTTACTGGACCATACTGGAGCATTACTGGAGCTAAGTACTGGTAGTGAAACGATGGTCCTGCTCCATGTCCACTTGGGCTCTTGAAATCAAATGTGGAACATCGTGCAATCAGAAAATGGTATCACGTCCCATAGAAATCATACTTCAGGACTGTATTTCGCAGTGTTCTCTGAAATCCTAAAGTCATTGAAGTGATTTAAGTGTAGACTTCCATACTTAGATTTAAACCATTTTAAACCACCATATTTATTCCATATGTCACTAATGCTCCTTGCTTCAAACACTCACGACCCTGTACTGAACTCTATGGGTTCTAGCTATCCACCTTGATTTTTGCTCGTTGCAGCGTTCGACGGCCACCATTTCCTCCCCAAGGCCGCATCGTGTCTTCCCTGCTGCCCTTTCTGGTTGAGGCTCCAGCTGCGCTGGACCTGGAGGTCGGAGCTGCGCAGCTTTTCTGCTTCGAACTGACGTTCTACTTATATTTTTCTTTTTCTGCAGTCATACGTTTTTGCCGCTCTGTTTTTTCTTGCTCTGCTGCTCTGCTTCCTTTCTCTTGTTCTTTTGCTTCTTTTTCTTGTTATTTTGCTTTACTCTCTCTCGTTTGTATCCTAAATGAAACCCTGAATGAAACCCTAAAGAACCCCTAAATGAAAAGCCTAAATGAAACCCTTAATGAAACCCCAAAGAAACCCTAAATAACACCCTAAAGCACAAATGAAACCCTAAACGAAACCCTGAATGAAACCCTGAGTGAAACCCTAAATGAAAACCCTATTTTTTTTCCCTCTCTTGTATACCTTGCAGGCAAGCATCTCGAAGCCGATGGCAATAACGAACTCTAACAGACATGCATTTGATGGCAGAACATATCGCAGGATATCAAACCAGATTCCAATCAGGGACCCAATGGGATCTACAATTCCGGAAGCCAGTGGATTCCTTATTACAATAAAGAGAAGCCTGAATCAAAATTGACCAAAGTGCTTTGGGGTGTCTAAGTTTCAAGTGCAAAGGAAAGGCTGACAATGTAGATAGGCCAAAGCACGTGCAGTGCTTGGCCGCGTTGTAGTCATCTTCAAGTGTTGGGAAAGCTGGTCGCAATGAAAACCCTAAATGAAACTCCAAATGAAACCCTAAATGAAACCCCAAAGAAACCCTGAGTGAAACCCTAAATGAAAACCCTAAATGAAACTCTAAATGAAACACTAAATGAAACCCCAAAGAAAGCCTGAAGAAACCCTAAATAACACTCTAAAGCACACATGAAACCCTAAACGAAACCCTAAATGAAATCCTGAGTGAACCCTAAATGAAAACCCTACATGAAACACTAAATGAAACCTCAAAGAAACCCTAAATAACATCCTAAAGCACAAATGAAGCCCTAAATGATCCGAAATGAAACCTTCAAAAATGAAACCCTAAAGAACCCCAAATGACACCCTAAAGAAACCCTGAAGATACCCTAAATGACACCCTAAAGAAACCCTAGCCTAAATGAAACCCTTAATGTGAAACCCTGAAGAAACCATAAACAAACACACATGATCCCACATGAACGTTTGAAGTACCAACATGTAACAAATATGTACTATGCAAAAATGAGGTTGAAGTGCTTAAATGTAGCACATACTGTGCAAAATGGAAGGCAGATATGCTAAAAGATTGCAAACACCATGCAAAATGGATGCCATACCATGCAAAGTGACAGGTTCTAGTTCCAAACTGTTGCAAATACGATGCAAATGGCATAAGGAAAGAAATCCAAAAAGGAATCCCAAACCTTATCAAAAAATCCTCAAACTATTCTTCACCCACGGATTCTGATATCGTTTGATGCTTCCTATTGTACGGAAACAGTGCTTAGAGTATGTTGTGTTTCTTGTGTATTCACTATCCATGTATTGTTGTTGTGAATGCCCGTCAATTGCTCATCTTTTGTAAGCAAAGGAACATGACATACCCATCAGACATGGTGATTGAACCAGGATGAGTTTAATCATCAACAATCATGTTTTTTTTGTATCGGAGCTTGGCCATATTTGGCAATGTTTTTGTGGTAAACATTGTTGATTTGATAGTCTAGGTTTATATTGCCAGGAAGGGTGTTGAAATTTGGTCAATTGCAAGTCATTATGTTAATGTGGTAACCCTAGCTGAATATATTAAACCATAGTAAACCTATGTTTGATCCTTTATGCGGGTATTATAGGATTCTAAATCCTACCCAAATCGTCAGTTTTTGTGAACGGAGTATAGTTTATTGCTTGGTTTATCACACTACATGGTTTTGACCAGAAGTGGGGTATAGCCAAACCTGCAATGTTACGAGGTAAAGTGGTAAACAATATTTGGGAATATAACTTAATCTTGAACACCCCCATAGGGCAAAAGGACCAAAAGGACCCACGTATGTTCCGGAATGATATCTTGGAATAATTCGTTGCTACAAACAAAGCTCAGCTTGGCTTGGGAGGGAGAGTTTTATTACAGGGTTTTCCCTAAGACTTTCGCCTTCATGTCCATGGTATTAATTTGTTTCTGTACAGGAGTATTAAATAGCTCATATCCCCCAAACAAAAATCTGAAAAACATGACTTCTTGACGAGGTGCCTTGGGTTTGCCACATTGTGTGCAAAGCATCTACCGGGATATACAGCCCCCTAGTGATGTTGGTTTATAATTTATAACCCCATCAAACTATATAGCTCGTTATAACTATCATAAACCCAACTGTTGAAGTACATGTAAACCAACTTAGCTATCGAACGGGGGGCCCACATTGTGGGGGATTAAAAACCCCTACCCTCTGGTCAACTAACATAGCTATTGGAAAAGAGGTAAAACATCTACAAATGGTTCATGTTCATTCATTTCCCATAGCTATAATGGGAACATGATGGGAAATCACTATTATTATTTTGTTTCTCTAGAAATTCCCATATGCTCCATGTAAGGAATGTTTGCCTACATTTGAGCTATTTTGGGGGTAAATGTAGTTAAATGTTCCAGCACCATGGATCATCTGGGATTTCTATTGATATTTATCTTAGATACAAGAAAAAATGATTTAGAATTCCATGATCTTAGAATAGAATTATTGAAATCATTGTTATTGATTTATTAAAACAATGGAAAATCCATAACATCATTGGAAAATCCATAACATCATTGGAAAATCCATAACAGTGTTAATAAAAGGTGATTAAAAATCCCCAACTTCCCCAGTTTCTCTAGACGTCCCAGGGCTGCCGTCGCGCCTCCGAGCTGGCAGCGCGCGCCTGGGGTCCTCGGGAGCGCTGGAGTGATGAGACGGAAAAAAACGCTGCGGACCTGTGGCGAAATCATCTGGGGATCTTATTCTGATTTTTGGGGATCTTATTCTGATTTTTGGGGATCTTATTGTGATTTTTGGGGATCTTATTCTGATTTTTGGGGATCTTATTCTGATTTTTGGGGATCTTATTCTGATTTTTGGGGATCTTATTCTGATTTTTGGGGATCTTATTGTGATTTTTGGGGATCTTATTGTGATTTTTGGGGATCTTATTGTGATTTTTGGGGATCTTATTGTGATTTTTGGGGATCTTATTCTGATTTTTGGGGATCTTATTGTGATTTTTGGGGATCTTATTGTGATTTTTGGGATCTTATTCTGATTTTTGGGGATCTTATTGTGATTTTTGGGGATCTTATTCTGATTTTTGGGGATCTTATTCTGATTTTTGGGGATCTTATTGTGATTTTTAGGGATCTTATTGTGATTTTTGGGGATCTTATTCTGATTTTTGGGGATCTTATTGTGATTTTTGGGGATCTTATTGTGATTTTTGGGGATCTTATTGTGATTTTTGGGGATCTTATTCTGATTTTTGGGGATCTTATTCTGATTTTTGGGGATCTTATTCTGATTTTTGGGGATCTTATTCTGATTTTTGGGGATCTTATTGTGATTTTTGGGGATCTTATTCTGATTTTTGGGGATCTTATTGTGATTTTTGGGGATCTTATTCTGATTTTTGGGGATCTTATTCTGATTTTTGGGGATCTTATTGTGATTTTTGGGGATCTTATTGTGATTTTTGGGGATCTTATTCTGATTTTTGGGGATCTGATTTTTGGGGATCTTATTGTGATTTTTGGGGATCTTATTGTGATTTTTGGGGATCTTATTCTGATTTTTGGGGATCTTATTGTGATTTTTGGGGATCTTATTCTGATTTTTGGGGATCTTATTCTGATTTTTGGGGATCTTATTGTGATTTTTGGGGATCTTATTGTGATTTTTGGGGATCTTATTCTGATTTTTGGGGATCTTATTGTGATTTTTGGGGATCTTATTGTGATTTTTTGGGGATCTTATTGTGATTTTATGGGGTATAGTGGTGATCTCTTGGGAATTTGGGTGATTTCAATGGGAGTCGAAGGAATTTCTTGCAACATTTGTTGGGATTATATAAAGGTTGTTGTTTTGTAAATGTCTGTGGAAGACATAGTCTCCACACGCTAACAGTGGCCAATGACGGTTCATTGGAAACGAGATAGTTCTGGTGGTCACGAGAATGACAGGAAACTATGGGAAAGTATATAATAAACCATGGAGCTGGTCCACAAGCGAATAAAACAAAGAAATGGTGAGTCTAGCAGGAAAAACGGGATGTCATGAAGGGAAGTCGATCCTGAAGTGGTCCTGACATGGGTACGGGTTTGCCAAGATGCACGGCAAATCGCCAGCGGACTCTCGATCATGTTCAGCCCTTTGGCTCAATACCATGCAACGGAAGCTGTTGAGTGCAGGAAAGGCCATGAGGCTCTGTCTGAAAATAAGCACAAAATCCAGTGGTTAACATTGGTTAATTAATCATCATTTTCCCTACGAAAAATGGCATTTTTCTTGGATATACTCCATTTTCTGCCATTGAACTTGGAAGAACTTGGACCAATCAACTCATTCTTTTGGCGCCTCAAAACACGGCGTGCCATGGGAGTTGGACGGTCCGTTCCCAAAGCCAGAGCCGAGTTGGAAGCTTGCGCAGGCGTGGCGTAGGTGAAGGGAATCTTCCGTGGGTGAAACATAAACCACAACCAGGATTACAAAGTAGGGTGTGTGTGTGTGGAACGTCTGAACAGACGAAAAACTTCGCTCGTGGTTCATCATGTATATTGAATTATATTATATTACACCTTAAGGCAGGGGGCCACCGGGGTCCCGGGGGGGTCGGTGGCCAACGAAGACACCCCCCAAACCCGTGAAAACGTACCTGCTTGCAGTGGCCCTGGACGGCAACCCCTTAGGTGGGGGCCGTAGCTGGGCACTGCAGTGACAGTCCCTGGGTGCCGTCGTGCGCAGCTGGGATGTCACCTGCGTAACTAATCTAGGTGCATGTTAGGGGACTCAGTTCCCGACGGATCTCTTAAAAGATCCACTCTTGTCTAGTGTGATTCCTATGGTGACTCCGACATGGTGCCATAGGGCCATTGGAGGCAACCCCTTTGTGGGTGACTGTCGACTGACCTGACTTCTGAATTAGCACATTTTAAGCTGGTAATTCATTTAAGTAAAGCGAAACAGTTGGCCTTTCCGTTCACCAGCCTTTTGAGAAGTCCTGCTGATCCTGTGGTCCCTTGTGATGCAATGGAACGATCTTCTCTCCGGGTTGGATGCCGATCTGAACAGCCAGAAACTGTTTTTTTTCAATTTCGCGGCTTTTGAAGGTGAACACAAACATGTCGCATCAGAAGTCACTCAGGCAGGTCCACGCTTTCCAGGTATGGTCTTCCTTTCTTTTGATGGTTCGTTGGTGAGGTTGAACATGTTGTGCATCTAATTCGTTGGAACTTGAACAGCTGTTTATGCCCATGCGGCTTGACTTGACCACGGTCCCGGCTGGGAGTAAGGCACGACTCACTAGGATGGAACTGAGTCCCCCCTTAATTGTTGTTGTTTTTTCTGTTTCACCAACTAGTCCCCCATTCGGTCCCCTATTTCATGCGTTCTTCCCTCCCTAGGTAGGTTGGGTCCTGCGCGTGCCGAGGTAGGCGTAGGTTTTCGCTGTGTCAGGTTGGTTCAGGCGCTTCCGTCTTCCCCCCCTCCCGCTGGTCTTGTTCCGTGTCCGTCGGCCTCCGTTTTTCTTTCCTCTTGCCCTTTCAGGGTTTGCCCGCTCTGGGCCAGGTGTGTTGGTGTGTGTTTGCTCCTTCCCTCTTCTTTTGCGTTCCCCTCATCGGGTCCCGGTTAAGTATTCTTTCATCTCATCTTCACTTTCATCTCATCTTCATCCCCTTTTCATCCTCATTTTCACCCCATGTGCTGGACACCACCCTGCCAAAGGCAGGGTGTGTGTGTGGAACGTCTGAACAGACGAAAAACTTCGCTCGTGGTTCATCATATATATATATATTAAATTATACTATATTACACCTTAAAGCAGGGGGCCACCGGGGTCCCGGGGGGGTCGGTGGCCAACGAAGACACCTCCCGGGACCCGTGAAAACGTACCTGCTTGCAGTGGCCCTGGACGGCAACCCCTTAAGTGGGGGCCCTAGCTGGGCACTGCAGTGACAGTCCCTGGGTGCCGTCGTGCGCAGCTGGGATGTCACCACATATATTTTAATATTTATATATATATATATACGTAACTAATCTATACGGATCTCTTAAAAAATCCACTCTTGTCTAGTGTATGTGTGTGTGATTTTCCCCACCTGCCAGGTGAGGGTCTCTAGGTTTTATCAGAGCTCCCGCCTCCTGCCTGCCGGACCTCAACCACGAACTCTATATCTCAGTGGGCACTGCCGGACCCCATCTGCGAGAGCCAGATCTCAGTGGGCACTGCCGGACCTCAACTGCGAGTGATAGAACGTCAGAAGAGATCTCAGACAGAATGCTTGATAGAATGTCAGAACATATGTCAAATAAAATGACAGAAAGAATGACAGAAAGAATGACAGGATGCCAGATAGAATGTCAGAAAGTAGGCCAGATAGAATATCACTTGGTGGGGATCACTCCAAGAAAGTAATATTATTATTTTGAAATTTGGGGGGCCACCACCCTACACAAAATCAACTCTGGGGTTGTCAATTAGGGGTTGACATTCTCTTTTTTTTGGGCCATCTGGGGCTTCTAGGAACTGATGTGTTCTTCTGCTTGGGTTCGACCGCAGTTTTGATTGGGGAAGCTGACTTGCATGACTTGCATGAAAGCGTGTGAAGCTTACCAACTAATCAGATCAGGGCTCACAGAACCCGGCTTGGCTCCGTGGTGCTGGTTTCCTTTAAGCTACAAAACCAAATATTCATAACTATTCCATACCTTCTGGCAATTTTCGTATGTAGCTACGAAAGCCACGGAGCATTTATAGAAAAGATGTCCTTATCAAACTACCCGCAGATATGGCCGTTTACCAATTATAAGTGGCTATACTGGTTATTTCTATGGGATAAAAAACATTTCATAAATGGGGTTAGTTCAGTACGTGTACCTTGTACCTGGTATTTCGGGCATAACTGCATGTTCCAGTTCGCAAGCTGCCTAAAATTACCATCCAAATGACCCGGTGCGGTTGCCGCCTGCAGGTCTACGCTTGTTGAAAGCCAAGGACTGGGATGATGCGCTCGAGGTTTGCGCGCAGGTGGATGGCGATGGCGGGGTCAAACTCGTGGAGTCTTGAGCTATGTGGTGAACGATTCTTTTAATTTCACTAACTGACTAAGTAGCTGACTGACTAACTAACAAGCTGACTTACTAACTGACTAACTAACTAACTGACTAACTAACTAACTGACGAACTAACCAACTAGAATACTGTTAGATTTTTACGAAAATAATTCGTTTTGTTTCATAGGTGTTCCTATCTTTTGTGACAGGGATAATTTTAGCATATTTTAGCCCAGTTGTTGTTGTTGTTGATGATGAAAGTTCCCCAAAAATCATCTCATATAGTCAGAACTCGGGTTAGCTAATCATAGCCAAACCACGTACTATATACATGACATAGCATTTAGATTTTTTGCATGGCTGCATTAATGTTAGAAGATGTTTTGCAGTCGAACACTATGGAGGTCAAAATAATTAGTCATGGGTTTTCCACATATTTTTGTATGTTTACCCCTCGGGTAGATGTTAGGTTAGTTTCATCTAATCCATAATAATTTCATAATATCGATTCACATGAACAGGGTGTGCGCCATATGTACCCATGAAGAATCCCCAAGAGTGGTGGATTTGGGTTTTTTTTACGCATGGTACCATCCAATTAGTGGTACCCATTTCGACCCATGTCCTTGGACGACTGGAATATCGACACCCATGTCAATGTAACACCATGTAACCGTAGCTGTATATTGATGTATATTTCATATGCTATACATGTAGTAGCGCTCAAAAGGATAGAAATCTAATTCACCATTGCTCTGGTAAAATGTACGTTTCCATTTTTTTGGGTTCCTATACACCATGACCAATGTCGCCTTTATTGGCGGTGAAACCGTTTACAAGTCCAAGTGTTCCACAGCCCTTTGACGTGTGGATGCGGGGATAATAGGGTAAACCTGGGGTAAACATGCGTGAATGGTTGGTCAATCAACAAAAGCAAGAAAACCACAACATGTTCATCCACTGCTCAGACATGCTGTATACTTGCATTTGTAGTTGAATTAACATCATGTTGACATTCTCTCTACATTACGTTTACTGTATATATATATAACATAATACGGACATATTATAATCCTATCAAAGATCTACATGTCTAGATTGACATATATAGATATCAACATGCGTGAACCACACAGGTTATCCTTATCCAAGAGAAACATTAGCCAACTAAAAATTTGAATATCTCACCAAAATGTCGTGCCCCCATCTTATGCTCCGGCTGCAGGCGATGAACGGCACGGAACACTGCACTTTGGCTGAAAGTGGGGCCCTACCACCCATTTCTGGCTGTCCAGGAAAATGATGATAGCCTGACAGGTGGTTTAGGTTCCAATATACCATTATTTTCCCATAGACTATCATAGACATATACCATAATGTTTGACAAACAGCTATCATAGACACAGACTCGCAAGGTAGGCTGGTTTGCAAAAAAAATCACCTTCATCCAAACCTGGACAGCAGGAGTCTTGGATCCTGAGAGCAGTTCTTTTCTGTGAATCAAGTGGAACTCATCATCGTTTCATGTGTGTCAATGAACAAATTATGATTAATTTCAAGATTCGCAATGATGTTTTTAAATGTATACAAGCGTACATATTTATCACAATATATCTCTGTATGTTTTATTCATGATTCATTGTTGAATATTTGAATCCATCTTTACCAGATCATGCAATGCAATGTCACAAGTGTGATCATCACTGCCCCTAGGCCGAGAAGCTTCGTATGAATGGGTTCATATAAGTCTTCACTATGCTGCCCATATGGCAGTCCAATCTCCTTCGACTGGTAAAAGGACAGAGATTTTTTTGGATATGTTATGATATTTTTTCAAATTCAGGATTGAACCATCTAATGTTCATTAATCTCGTGTCCTTTTTTGTCGATATGTGTTTTTATTTTTATGTTTAAACATGTTTTTCATTTTTGTACAGTTGCGTGTTACACTTGTCTACCATGTTTTCTCGCATCCAGCTTTGAGAGCATCCAACACCACGAGAGCAGCTCCATGAGGCGAAGGTGATCCCATGTTGAACTTTGTTCTGGGTCCCAAGATGTCAAACTACAAAGACCCTAGGCGCGGCTGCAGACTTTGTTGGTTGACACGGGCCATTGCTCCTTGCGTAAAAGATTGGTGATGTGCCAGAAGAACATTGAGATATAAGTAGATCATTGTTTTTTTCTGGGATTCCAATGTGGGTTTGGATCAAAATTTGCATCTCTCCCAGTGTTTGAACAGTTATTCAGGGGCCCACATAGCAGCTTCGATCATGAATTTGCCCATGGTTTGGTTGGTCTAATTCCCATGTTTCATTCCTTAGACTCATGGTTTGTCTCATTTCTAGTGATTGCTTCATGATGCTTCATGAAACCACAGGGTTCCTGCCATTCCCCAATCATTTCTGGGTCACAGAAGCGACCAGAAATTCCCGAAAAATCACCCAAAATCACCCAGGTTTGTAGGTCAATTTGTAGGTAAATAGACACCAGCACCATGGAGCTTTTATTTTCCACAATATGTCGGATGTCATCCTTCCCATTGACGAACTCCATCATTTTTCAAGATTGCTTTTTTCCACCAACCAGGAATGGTAAATATTCCCTCCAGTAAATTAACATAGACCCTGCCAGATGGGGGTTGAAAGACTAGTTTCCACTATAAATTGGTCAGTTTCAGGGTCCAACTGTTAATTTACCAGAGGGTACCCATTATACACCTACATCAACCAGATACCATGGAAGATGTTCATCCCATGGGATGCCCATGGATCGATCGGGCCGATGATTGTTCGAAAATGGTCGCTAGATATTTGGAATCTCAATGTTGATGCAAGAATATGACGTGTAGCATATATATATACATATCATCTGTTGATTTAGTATCTATATGTCTATATATCAATATAAGAACTTATATCAATGGTTTATATCTAGCAACATTACAAATTTTAATTCTTTGCTTGTCGGTAGTTATAGTAAAAGGCAAACAATATATTTCGTGGAAGACGTTTGAGAATAGCAATAAGATAGCACGCAAAGTCAAAATCTTACCCATAGGATCCTTGTATGGTATATATGCTAACATTTGGGGTATATTGCTGGTAAATGTTACCATATATAGCATACATGGATCCTATGGGTTATAATTATGTACAAAAAACGATATACATGATCCTTTTTTGTTCTTGTGGCAAATGGTGTATGGGATGTGGATGGATTTAAGGCACAATCCTCAGCAACAAGCAACATCAAAATGTGTGGCGCCTGAAAAGTTGGGAGCCTAAAACATGAATTCCAGAGAGGCAAGGAATTTTGCAGCATATTCATACAGTTTTTAACGTGAAATAAGGTCTCAAATTTAATCAACATGTTGCCACCATGGGGTACATAAAGTGTCAAGATGTTTCCGCAATTGCTGTTTACAGTTTATGCGGGACGGGATGTCCTGTATTCCGTTGGTATTACCTATACTCTTTGAATGATTGTTGCTTCATATCCTTATTGTTTTTATGTTCCCGCTTATGTTGGTTATGTCTTCTGACTGTGTTGTTTTGTTAATTTTCTTCTTGTTTATACACCCCTGTGACCGTTGGTTGTTTGTTCTCACATTTCCATACCTTTCTCAAGATGTTGTGCCTCAGAATTCTCCAAAAGAATGGCATCAACATCGATCATGAGGAGCTAGTGAGCCAGGAATGATTAGAAATTCCTACGAACTAATGATCGGAACAGCTGAAATATTTGGATGATTGTCCCACTTATCGTAACTGGTTAGTAACCCTAGGTAACAAGTCCCCGATTCATATTTAAATATTTATATATATAGATATATATATATATATATTTATATTATATTATATATATACATATATATTATATTATATATTTTTATTATATATATATATTATATATATTATATATTATATATTATATATATTATATATTATATATATATTATATTATATATTTTTCTATATTATATTATATATTATATATATTTTTAATTATATATATATATATATTTAGGATTAGGATTTCCCACTCTCAATTGCCAACCAGTTCCTAAGGGTGGTCATCGTCCAACTAAAGGCCATCCAAAGCATCCGGATCCCTCAGCTCAGCTGCAGGCGTCTGGAGGTCTTGCGCTTTTTGGCAGCGCTGATTTTGGAGGCGCCCGGTTTTCGGGGGTGTGTAACCCTTGGTGTAACCCTTGGCGATTCAGGATTTTTCGCCAGCCAAGATGGAAGAACTAGGGCATTCCATCAATGGGAATTCCAGGATCCTAAAATGGAGGTACTGTACCATATTTTTGGCCATATTTTGTGGTGATATTCCGTTACATAGGGCATTCCAAGATGGAAGAAACGGGGTAGCTAGGGTTAACCCAGTTGGAAGGATCCGTGGGATGATCCTCGAAGTTCCCTCATGCTGTGAGCCACTGACCCAGCTGCATGCAGTCGGTTGACTATGATCTGGGGTTATACTCTCCAATATATATATTTATATATATATATAGATGTAAATTATTATATTTTATCATATTATATTATATTATGTTATATTATTAATTATATATTATTATTGTAATTAATATTATTTTTATTATTTATTTATTTATTTATTTGTTTATTTATTTATTGATTTGTTTATTATTATATATATAATTATATATATGTAAAAAATATATATATATTATACATATATATAAATATATATTATTCATATACATATATAATTATATATATATGTATATATGTACATATTATATATTTTATATTTTATATTATTTATATATATATTATATTATTTGTTATTTTTTATATTTTATTTATGTTTATATTATATATATATTATACATTTATATTATTATATATTGTTATATATATATATATTATATTATATTATATTGACTCATGATACGTATTCCCGTTAGGTAATATCAAGTAACGTCCATCTTGGGGATCTACACATAGGGACCATCATATGAAGTGTTCAATGATGGGATTAGGAAACTAGTTGTGGCATGTTGTGGCCTCCAATCCAAACGCTGAACCGCATAAATGTAAAGGTATATTAGTATCATGTAGTTACTCTTGTATATTTGTTACACATACCGCTAGGCTTTAAATCGTATCAATCGACCTGAAGTCCTATCACATCTGCGTGCGTGCAGTGTTTCGTATAGATTCTGATGGTTCTTCATTTGACTGGCTATTGGTTTGGATCCTCTTTCATCGCTGTGCGCAGTCTTTTCTTGGCAGGATTCTACATAACCCTATGATCCTATGTGGTACTGAATTCATTCTGTATGGCGTGATGCCATTGTCCATAGCAAGTGGCGAAAGGCGTGCGTTTTGTACACCACATGTTTTAATTATCAATATGTCTATATATGTCTATGATTTTAATAATATTGTATATATGTAATGGTTTCTTGAAATGGGGATGCCCCAAAATTGATGGTTTATAAATGTTTTTAATAATTATAGGAAATCCTCAAATCACAATGGATGATTTAGGAAAGCCCCATGACCTAAGAAACCTCCATATGATAGTGTATATATATATATATGTCTGTATGGAGGTTGCCTAAAATGGGGTTACCCCTAAATCATCCATTTGATTTTTGGATTTTCCATGAACTAAACCAACCATGTTATGCCATTTTGGGATACCCACATTTATGGAAACCCTTATGTAATTTCATATATAGATGTCATCCATTCACTCCCAGGAAGATTGGCGCTGGTCGAGGCATTCCTTGCCTTTGGCCATGGAGGCTCTCGACGGCACGCTTGGTGCCGTGTGCCTGGCGCGCAGGAGCAACGGAGGCGAGATGATTTTGCTAGAGATTTACCCTCTGGTAATGACTAACATAGCGACATAGAAAATGGCCCAGTCGAAATAGTGGATTTTCCCATTAATAGCATGGTGATTTCCCATAGTTATGTGGTTGTTTACCAGAGGGTAATGAAGTTGTTCATGTTGGATGGTATCACTTTTTTTGTTTATATGTTTGTTCTTTGTGTTTTACATACATATAGATATATATATATATATATACACATTTGTATGATGGTCAACGATGAACATGGGATGATAATCCCAACGGACATGGTTGATTTTTCAGACGGGTTGAAATTGAAATTACCAACCAGATAAACTTAAGGTGTGACATAGTGTCCTCAGAACTTGATTAAATCCGGAGGTGTTACACACATGAGAAAAGGTGGAGGTTTACAACATGAATGTCTAGTTGCAACGACGACCAGGCTACCAGAATTAATTTTCATGTAAAGTTTTCATGAAGATCATGATCAACCAACCCCAAAAGATGATCCTGAGTGGTTGGTGTGGCCCAAAAAATCTACATGATTGGCCCTTATTGAGGTGGGTTGGGGTGGTCATTTTGGTTGGGAAGGCGCGAGTTGCCCGAGTTGCTTGCCTTGCGTGCCATGGTTTTGTTGCCGGAAGTGGAGCAGGTGCCATCTGGGTCGTTGAAGCATCAAGAAATTAATGGTAGTGTCATGGGATAATATAATATAATGGTATATAATGGTAAATACAATGGTACCTAATGGTATATAATGGTATTTAATGATGAATATAGTATAATGGTGTATATACGTGTATATATATATATATATTGCATATGGAATTTCATGGCATTTAATGCGAATATCATGGACATTTTCAAACATGCTTTGATGGGAAAAAAACATATTTGGTTCAGGGACACCAGCCCCAAATGGATGGTGACTGGACCGCTTTGACTTTGTATGGTACTGTGGTATTTCAGCCCATAAGATGGGATGTAACCCCCATAGCTGTGATTATGTATTATATGGTTTAAATACATTATTGTTAATTATCGTATATTATATATATATACATTATCCACTGATATGTGGCTTCCTAAGTGAAATGACAAAATAAAGACAAAACATCTTCAATGTTGCGATTGCGCCGGCCTTCAATTCGGACTGCAACCATTGCCACGTATCATGTCATGGATTGTCATGGTTCTTCTTGGCGGAACGATCCCGTTGGCAGGGATCACCATACATGTTGCACCCCAAAATCAGCTCTAAACATCATTTGATTATAGTAGATTCATCTTGAATTGTGATTCATATTCTAATTCAGCCAGATGTAGTTTATCTTAATCCTTTGTTTTCAAGTCTGCGCCTTCAAATGATCATCCCATTTGAGCCACGTTTTTTGTTCCAGATGATGGAATTTAGATGGAGGAGGAACTCACATCATCCATGCGTAGGCTATTCTGCTTGGTGCGTAGGTCCTGCGTAGGCATATTGCGTAGGATAACGTAGGAGAGGCTGCATAGGCAGTCTCGCGTAGGCGCTTGTCTAGATGTTACAAACTGTTCCAGATTGTTTATATATTTCTGACCTCGGACTCTTGTTTTTCTTGATGTGTTACACTGATTTTGCATGCAAACTGGATTGTATTGTTTAGCTGGAAGAAAGGGGAAATTAAAGAAACGACCGCTTTTTCAGAAAATTACAGTGGCAAGTTTTCAGAAATCCATTTTTGGTTCGGACTTTCGCGTAGGCTCCGCGTAGGCCCTCGCGTAGGAAACGCGTAGGCCCTAGGTCAAATTGTGGCCCGTAGGCCATCCAAAGTTTTTCCAAGGTCAACATCTGACTATCTTCCATTGTTCCCGAGGCTCAACTCGTCTTACCGTTTCACTTTTCTATTGTTTCCATGAGTTCATCATTGCCGATCACATCATCTTCCAAAGTGCTCCGCGCTTTGATGAGGTTTCCGCCTTCTTTTCACAATCTTCCAATTCTTCTTATTCCTCTTCTGAAGAGTTAACCTCTGGTTATTTAACATAGCCATGGAAAATGGCCCATAGAAATAGATGGTTTACCTATTAAAAATGGTGATTTTCCATGGCTATGTTAAATAACCAGATGGTATTCTTCCTATTCCTCTTCCAATCATTGCAATTATTCCAATGAATCGTGACCACGTCCAGAGATCAGTGGAGCAACTGGGAGGGCCAGGGATAACCCGACCCTGGCTTCACCCGACAACATGTTTTGCAAAAAATGATGAGTTTATGGATTTTTGTTGGCACATGATTTCATGAAATTTCATGAATTTGACCATGTATGGTGTTTTTTTAGGTTCAATGATTTTAGTGCAACATTGAGCGCAGAATCATGATCAACTGTGCAGACTATGGCTATGCAGCTATGCATGATGGTTTTATGATGTTTTATGGCTCAAGATTGGCCATGATTGGCCCCTGATAGTATCTTGTAATTAGTTGAACTTCCAAGGTCAATGTTTGACCTACATCAGCCCAGGATATCGCTTCTCTTTTGCTCCATCTGTCTCCCACCTTCTATGTGGTACCCTCTGGTAAACTAATATAACTATGGAAAATCACATTTTTCATGGGAAAATTCACTATAAATGGTGATTTTCCATAGTTATGTTAAGTTGCCAGAGGGTAGCTACCTCATCTCCATTTGCACCACACCCTTTACTTGGTGGTTCACCCCAGTTCGTCAGTTATCACCCCAGTTCGAAGTGGACATTGCCCCTACAAAACGCCCATTATTGAGATTCAAAACTAGGCTTCTAACCTACTTACTAAGTGGGATGAACCACCAAGTAATATATATATATATATTATATACATATAATAAATAATTATATATATATATAATAAATATCATATACTGTAATCACCAGTGGGATGAACCACATCCTTAACAGCCTCTCTTAACGCCAGGCGTTTCCCGGGCGCTGCGCACGTCATGGGTGAAGCCGCTGCTCGCATGATGGGCCCCGACGGCTTGGAAGCTCGGTCGAATCCTCCAGTCGTGGATGAGGACTTCGTAGTGAAACCTATGGTGACTCGGGGATCCTCCAATTTAAGAAACCACATATATGATAATATATATAGTGTATATATGTGTGTACACACCGCATTCATGATAAGATTAATAAGAAGCTGATCCATATACAAAATATGTTTGAATATACATTATAATTATACATATCTAATCAATATGTATAGAGGTTTGTTGTTGGACAATTCGGCTATAAAGAAGGATTTTTCCAGAAAGCCATGTTCGTTTACCAGATGGCAAGTCTATTGGTTAATTGTAGGGGGTTGAAATTAATAGTTCAGTATGATTGATGGTATGGTTGATGGTGTGGTTAATTTGATGGTCAAACATGGTTTGTAATATGGTTGTTTGGTTGATTGAGATCCGTTTGTTTCAAAATAGTGTGCCCCTAAATCTGTTGATGAATCCTCATTTTCCCTAGCAAAATGGGGGTGGTGCATACCATTGACACATCCAGATTGGATTTAAGCACAATAAGGCTATTGCCCACCAGGCACAAAACGGTGGATCTGATCCCAAGATGATGACTGTTGACCAGTTGATCCCTGTCGGTAGGTTGGACAACAAGTAGTATTAAACCATCATTTGCAAGGTTTTAACAATAAAGAGTTTGGGGGTATAGTTCATGAATCGTGGTTGCTTGGTATTTATGACATGATTAAAGTATATTAAAGTTGTTTATCCGCTTAGCTGGTTTGTTGGTGCTTATGGATTGACCATGTTTGACAATGAATTGCGAATCTCTGTTGACATCTACGGGGGTGCAGGATTCCCAGCTGGTGTGTTGAAGCACTATTTGGGGCTTTCCATAGTCATGGGGATACCCCACGCTCGCGGGATGGTTTAGTTCATGGAAAATCCGAAAATCAAATGGATGATGTAGGGATACGCCTATTTCAAGAAACTTCCATTTGGGTAATTCTGACTTTGTCTGCTTGCGGGTTCACTTAGTAGGTAGGTGACTGCTACAAGGGGGAGTAGATCGATGATTTTTCTCTGTGTATTTACCCAACTTGCAGCGTTTTTCCTTGGGGTGTTGGGAGCAACCGCTGTTTCAGTCACAATGGCTGTGTCAGGTACCTAAACTGGAGGTATAGTAATTACCATACAAAGCCATATCTGGTGGTATATCTCAGTACATAGCTCTTGCATAGACCTTGTATTATATGGTAGGTACCTCCAATAAATCGGTTCCTGAAATGGCCACTGTTTGGGCTGGCCAATCCCAGACCTTAGACTTTGGTCCGTGCCCCATAGTTCCTTATTTATTTATTTATTTAGTTAGTTATTTATATATATATATACATGTAGTGTGTATATATATATTTATTTATTTATTTATTCATTTATTTATTTATTTTATTTTCGGTTATAGATGTATGATGATATGATGATGTATGCGCATATTACATATCATATACTGAATATGATATTTGTGTAAAACTTAGTGGATATCCGCATCATAAAACTATATGTATACACACATATACGCATATTGCGCTACGCAATGCTCATTTTTGGTTCATTGTCATGTATTATCCAACTATATACTGTCTCAGTAACAGCATCGCAATAATAATCCACATATTTCTCTGAGGTATGTTTGCCATGGCTGAACCCACCATGGTTATTCACCATTATCTGCCAACAGGGTCCAAAAACTACGAGTCATATGGAAAGGATGGGTGGGTTTTACTCCTCTATCTGGCCTAAAAGCATTTGTATGTTGGTATATGTTCGTATATCTTGGATGGAAATTGTGCTTTCAGGAAACCACCACTAGGACACGTGGGAATTAGGGGGCCCAAGTCACCCATTGTTTTTTTGCCATAAGAATTTATTGTATAAATGTAAATATGAATGGATTGGTTTAAGGGCAAAATTACAGGAAACCCTCATATTTCATGGAAAAATCAATGGTTTCCTGTAATTTTCCCAATCCGTTGAAAAAAATATATTATATATGTATATATATGATATGTACGTGTAGCGCAGGAATGTTCTATCTTGGTTATAGAACGCAGTGACCGGGGCAACTCGCCGTCGCCATTGTGGGAAGCCCTCAACGCTGCTTTCCTTGACCAGTTCTTTGATGTTGACTACTTCTCATGCGTGAATGTTGACGCCGTGGCATGTCAGTACTATGATGTCCAGTCTCACTACGTGGCAAGGTTTGACAGCAACGGCACATACAGCTATGAAGAGCCATGCCGACTTCTTGCAAGGGCTCAGAGTTTTCGCTCCGGAACATGTCAACAATTGTCGTGTTTTGTTCCACGTTATGACCCGGAAGGAAAGGAAAGAATATTTGGAAAACTACAGTACCAGAGATGCACTCTGGTAAGTTAACGTAGACCCTGAAAATAGCCAAGGTCGTCATGTTGATTTACATGGTATTTGTTCGAAATGTGTGACCTTTCGAAATCCCACGATGCTGGGAGATTCTGCTTCGAGCGTAGAAATGTCCGACTCACATTGCAAAAGAAATAAACGAATCGAAAGCAACGATTTGTGCCTAGAATTCGCTGAAGGGAACAATTGACACTTAAACATAATTAAGGACCCTATATGTTTTTGTTGTTAACATCCAGAGGGGTCTTATCAATGTTCCCTTAACTCAATTCAAATCAATTGTTCCCCTAAGTCAACCAACTGAATACGTAATCATACTACAGTAAATCTGGACTGAAAATCTATGTAAAGCCATATATATATAACTATATATATATATAGATCCTTATAGGTATTGTGTTGATATGTTGAACCTATGGGCCGAGGAAATGCAGTTGCATGAGCGCCGCCTCATTTATGCTGCCGAGCCACATTTCAGTATTCCGCTGATGTCCCCTGGCCACATTTGGAGGCCGTATAGAGGTGGTTATACTGCCATGAGCCGCGTTCAATGCATTTGGGGATGTTTGGGGCTAGTTTATGAATCCACTTAAATTTAGCGCTAAATTGAAAACTAGACGACGGTTGGCCCGAGAGCGAAAAAGACGTTTTTCAAGCAGCTCTGAGTATGGTAGTCGTAAAAAATAGTCGGTGATAGGTTGGTGAATTTTATATGAGCTATGGAGGGGTAAGTTGTGAAAAGTAAGATTGATTAAGAAGAGGATACATGTGACAACCCATGCATATGCACTGTGCTGCTTGGTAAAGGGCATCATATGACACGTGTCTTGCAACCACAGAGAGACATAGATAGAGAGAAAGAGAGAGAGAGAGAGAGAGATAGAGAGAGAGAGAGGGAGAGAGAGAGAGAGAGAAAGAGGGAGAGAGAGAGAGAGCAGGGTCTTCTGTTGTTAGTATTGAGACACTATATTGCAAGACAATATATTAAAGATGTATTTTCGGCAGGCGAGACAAGTAGTATCAAGACAATATATTACAAGTACAAAACACTGGTCTGCATCCTATCCTTCGTATTGTTTTTCACACGCAGACGCTTTTGCACACAGACGCTTTTACACACAGACGCATTTACACACAGACGCTTTTACACACAGAAGCGTTTACACGCAGACGCTTTTACACACAGAAGCTTTTACACACAGAAGGTTTTACACGCAGACACTAGACACTTTTACACACATAGGCTTTTATACACAGGCGCTTTTACACACAGACACTAGACACTTTTACACGCATAGGCTTTTACACACAGACGCTTTTACACGCAGATGTTTTTAGACACACACACACACTTTCACACACAGAAGCTGTTACACACAGAAGCTTTTACACACAAACACTTTCACACACGGAGGCTTTTACACAGAGGCTTTTACACACAGACGCTTTTACACACAGAGGCTTTTACACACAGGCGCTTTTACACACAGACGCTTTTACACACAAACACTTTCACAGACGCGTTTACACACAGACACTTTTACACACAGACGCTTTTACACACAGACACTTTTACACGCAGACGCTTTTATACACAGGCGCTTTTACAGGCAGATGCTTTTACACACAAACACTTTCACAGTCGCGTTTACACACAGACACTTTTACACACAGACGCTTTTACACACAGACACTTTTACACGCAGACGCTTTTACACACAGGCGCTTTTACACGCAAGTGCTTTTACGCACAGAAGCTTTTACACACAGACACTTTTACACACAAACGCTTTTACACACAGACCCTTTTACACACAGACCCTTTTACACACAGACGCTTTTACACACAACAGTTTCACACACAGAGGCTTTTACACACAGAAGCTTTTACACACAGAGGCTTTTATACACAGAAGCTTTTACACACAGAGGCTTTTACACACAGAAGCTTTTACACACAGCGCTTTTACACACAGAAGCTTTTACACACAGAGACTTTTACACACAGACGCTTTTACACACAGACGCTTTTACACACAGACGCTTTTACACACAGACTTTTACACACAGACTCCTTTACACACAACGTTTACAACAGACGCTTTTACAACAGAAGCTTTTACCCACAGCTTTTACACACAGACGCTTTTACAAACAGAAAGCTTTTACACACAGACGCTTTACACACAGACGCTTTTACACCACAGACACTTTTTACACACAGACCTTTTAACACAACACTTTAAAATCAGACGCTTTTGCACACAGACGCTTTTACACACAAACACTTTTACACACAAACACTTTTACACACAAACACTTTTACACACAGACGCTTTTACACACAGACGCTTTTACACACAGACGATTTTACACACAGACGCTTTTACACACAGAGGCTTTTACACACAGACGCTTTTTCACACAGACCCTTTTACACACAGACGCTTTTACACACAACAGTTTCACACACAGAGGCTTTTACACACAGAAGCTTTTACACACAGAGGCTTTTATACACAGAAGCTTTTACACACAGAGGCTTTTACACACAGAAGCTTTTACACGCAGGCGCTTTTACACACAGACGCTTTTACACACAGACACTTTTACACACAGACGCTTTTACACACAGACACTTTTACACGCAGACACTTTTACACACAACACTTTCACACACAGAGGCTTTTACACACAGAAGCTTTTACACACAGAGACTTTTACACACAGACGCTTTTACACACAAACGCTTTTACACACAGACGCTTTTACACAGACGCTTTTACACACAGACGCTTTTACACACAGAGGCTTTTACACACAACCGCTTTTACACACAGACGCTTTTACACACAGACGCTTTTACACACAGAAGCTTTTACACACAGACGCTTTTACACAGACGCTTTTACACAGACGCTTTTACACACAGAAGCTTTTACACACAGACTCCTTTAAACACAGAAGCTTTTACACACAGAAGCTTTTACACACAGACGCTTTTACACACAGACGCTTTTACACACAGACACTTTTACACACAACACTTTCACACACAGAGGCTTTTACACACAGAAGCTTTTACACACAGGCGCTTTTACACACAGAAGCTTTTACACACAGGCGCTTTTACACACAGACGCTTTTACACACAGACGCTTTTACACACAGACGCTTTTACACACAGAAGCTTTTACACACAGACTCTTTTACACACAGACGCTTTTACACACAGACGCTTTTACACACAGAAGCTTTTACACACAGACTCCTTTACACACAGACGCTTTTACACACAGAAGCTTTTACACACAGACGCTTTTACACACAGACACTTTTACACACAGACACTTTTAAACACACAACACTTTCACACACAGAGGCTTTTACACACAGACCCTTTTACACACAGACGCTTTTACACACAGACGCTTTTACACACAGACACTTTTACACACAACATTTTCACACACAGAGGCTTTTACACAGGCGCTTTTACACACAGACGCTTTTACACACAGACGCTTTTACACACAGACGCTTTTTACACACAAGGGCTTTTACACACAGAAGCTTTTACACACAGACGCTTTTACACACAGACACTTTTACACACAGACGCTTTTACACACAGACCGCTTTTACACACGGCACTTTTACACACAGACACTTTTACACACAGACGCTTTTACACACAGACACTTTTACACAGACGAAAGCGTTACGATTGACCAAGTAAAATCGCAATTTTTCCTCAGTTTTTGACGTCCAACGTCCATTTCGTGCGTAAGGGTTGCGATTGACAACTCAAAGTCGCAATTTTTCCTCAGGTTTTGACGTCCAACGTCCATTTCGTGCGTAAGGGTTGCGATTGACAACTCAAAGTCGCAATTTTTCCTCAGTTTTTGACGTCCAACGTCCATTTCGTGCGTAAGGGTTGCGCGCGACAAATAAAAGTTGCAATTTTTCCTCAGTTTTTGGCGTCCAACGTCCATTTCGTGCGAAAGGGTTGCCGGCGACGCTTCAAAATCGCATTTTTACCTAGGTTTTGGACGTCCAACGTCCATTTCGTGCGAAAGGGTTGCGTTTCGTGGCGCTCCGGCGGCACCGCCCCCGCCTTAAGAGAGAATAGAAGAAGAGCGAGAGGAGATCTGCAGATCTGAAGGTGTGAAGATGTAGATCTGCAGATGTGAGGGTTGGAAGATCTCTAGATCTGCAGATGTGAAGGTGTGAAGATCTAGATCTGCAGGTGTGAAGGTGTGAAGATCTAGATCTGCAGGTGTGAGGGTGTGAAGATGTAGATCTGCAGGTGTGAAGGTGTGAAGATCTAGATCTGCAGATGCGAAGGTGTGAAGATCTCTAGATCTGCAGGTTTGAGGGTGTAAGATCTAGATCTGCAGATGTGAAGGTGTGAAGCTTCTAGACTGCAATGTGTGAAGGTGTTAAGATCTAGAATTCTGCAGATGTGAGGGTGTGAAGATCTAGATCTGCAGGTGTGAGGGTGTGAAGATCTAGATCTGCAGGTGTGAGGGTGTGAAGATCTAGATCTGCAGATGTGAAGGTGTGAAGATCTAGATCTGCAGATGTGAGGGTGTGAAGATCTAGATCTGCAGGTGTGAGGGTGAAGATCTAGATCTGCAGGTGTGAAGGGATGAAGATCTAGATGTCCAGATGTGAGGGTGTGAAGATCTAGATCTGCAGGTGTGAGGGTGTGAAGATCTAGATCTGCAGGTGTGAGGGTGTGAAGATCTAGATCTGCAGGTGTGAAGGTGTGAAGATGTAGATCTGCAGATGTGAGGGTGTGAAGATCTAGATCTGCAGGTGTGAGGTGTGAAGATCTAGATCTGCAGGTGTGTGAAGATCTAGATCTGCAGATGTGAGGGTGTGAAGATCTAGATCTGCAGATGTGAGGGTGTGAAGATCTAGATCTGCAGGTGTGAAGGTGTGAAGATCTAGATCTGCAGGTGTGAAGGTGTGAAGATCTAGTATAACGGCTGCTTTTTTACGAAGAACCCTTCGCAGGCGCTCTCGGGAAAAATAGTTTAACAAAGCTCAAAAACAA